CTTTGTCTTGCGTATATTTCCTACGGCTGATCAGCTGTGACCTACTTCCTGTGGGTCAGAGAAATGTTCCCACAATACTCACCCTTTCCCCTGTGATCTCGCGATACCTGCTTTCAGTATTCCTGAACGTCCTGTCATTTAGACAGAACGCCAGCAAAACTACCGAATTTTCTACCTAACAGAATGAGAATAGTTTGTTCATTCATGTTAGGACGACATTTGGTACTTTTAGGTCGGTTCGAAATTTCATTCAAATGAGTGAAACTCCGATCCTATTCATTGCCGCGGCTGCATCTTGCAGCCGCTTAGTAGATAACTCCGTAATTCCCACGTTATCAGGGAGCTATCTACCAAAAGGCTGAAAGACCAAGATTGATCTTTCAGTGAACTTTACTAATACTAAGTAAAAATTACTTAGTATTAATAAATAATCTGCCCCTACTCGCTTTGCTGCGTTTAGGGGCATGTCTACTAAACAGTGAGCAGCCTGTGTAAACCCCCCTCTCATAAATGGCCCATGGTGGGGCATCTATTAACTAGCGGGCAGAACATAGTGTCCCCCCAATCCCCCACCCATGCCCCACAAGTAGGGGGCTTTTTAATTCAACAAGGGTCATAGGGTCCTCCCCTGACCCCACCCCTGAGTGATGGGTGCAGGCCCTAAACGACTATAGGGGAGCCTATTGTCCCCCCCCCGGCCCTCACCCATAAGCGGCGGGTGGGGGCCCTAATAAAATACCCGAGTGCAAAAAGAAAAACTTGCAGAAAAAAAATATCCAGATGCTTAAAAAAAAATCCATCTTTACCCAGCGACCACGCAGACAGAGCTCCGCAGGGCGGGGAAAAGGCTTATAAAGCCTTGCCACGCCCTGCAAATTGACTCAGAGCTCTATGATTGGTTGGTTTAATAGATTGCCTTTGTCACAGGGACACTTTTCACGCAGTCATATGTCATAAATGGACAAACGTACAGAACTATCAACTGACTTAAAGGGAAACATTAAACATCAGAACCATTTAATCTTAATGTAGTGGTTTTGGTGCATAGATGATGTACTTTTGCTCTGGCAATGTCAAACCTTGGAGGTCAAGCATATCAAGTATGATACTGAATGTAGCTAATACTTCTCTATAAGAAAGAACACTATGGGACAGGAGAGGGAAGGGAGAAAGAACACTATGGGACGGGGGGAGGAAGAAAGAAGACTATGTGACTGGGGGAGGGAGAAAGAACACTATGTGACAGGGGGAGAGAGAAAGAACACTATGGGATAGGAAGGGAGGGAGAAAGAACACTATGAGACAGGGGAGGGGAGAGAAAGAACCCTATGGGACAGTGGGGGATTGGGGAGGGGAGAGAAAGAATATGGGACAGGGAGGGAGAGAAAGAACCCTATGGGATAGGAAGGGGGGGAGAGAAAGAACACTATGGGACAGGGGTGGAGGTGGGGCAGAAAGAGTACCACGAGACAGGGGACGGGAGAAAGAACACTATGGGACAGGAGAGGAGGGTCAGAAAGAACACTGTGGCACAAGGGAGGGGAGGGGGAGATTGAACACTATGGGACAAGAGAGGGTAGAAAGAACACTATGGGACAGGCAAAGGGAGAAAGAACACTATAGTGCAGGGGATGGGGGTGGGGGGGGGCCCAAAGAACACTATGGGACAGGGGAAGGGAGAAAGAACACTATGGGCAGGGGAGGGTAGAAAGAACATTGAGAGAGCACTTCCTATCAGTCCGGCCGGGTATAGGAAACTGAAGCTCCTGTACCACGGTGCACACTGCTCCGCTCGGCCACGCTACAAGAAAGGTAGGTGGGAAAATCATCTTCGCCTGTTTACCCAAAAATCCTTGCACTCGCCCTGGATCAGAATGCTCAATGATCTCACTATGGAAAGATCAGGTTGCAGCTTCTAAACTGTCCAGGCCGTAGAAGTTTAATGGCTTTCTATATTTTTTTTATGATGGAGGAACTCATAATCTAAACTAAAGAACACACACATCTAACTTAAAAATAAATGTATATATATATATATATATATATATATATATATATTAATCTTAGTGTACTTTGAAACACATTTTAACTAATTATATTTCTGACCACTAGAGAGCAGTACCACTCAGCTAACCGACTTAATTCACTACCACTATCTGGCAAATAGTGATATTTATATATTGCAGTTACAGAAGGTATGAGTGATTAACACTTTCAGTAATGCACAAGTAACATAAAATCATTATTAAAATTAAGTTTGTTTCCTAAAATAGCCATCAATGACTGTTATAGGTAGTTGTTTACACCTTGAGGGTGTTAAAGGGAGACTCCACACCCCAAGAGCACTATAGCTTGCTGAAGTGCTTTGTGGGTGAAGAGTAGCCTAGATTAAATATATTTATTTCCATGCGAATCAGCACCTTTATAAATATACTAGGGAGCACCTCCCTGGCTGTACATCAAACAGCAAGGAGCATGCTTGCCTCCCCCGTCACAGACCTCAGATCAGCTCCAGACCTCGATAACGATGCGTGCGTGTGCACAAGCCGGCGCACTTAACTATGTGTGTGCGTGCAGAAGGCTTCTCAATGAGAAAGACTGAAAGTCTCTTCTGGGAAAAGAGGGGAGGGCTTGCTAAGGCTGCAGTTCATAAGATCTACAGCCTTTGCAGGCTCTTTTAATATATGCCCCCAATAAATACATGCCTGAAAATTCATGCATGTTTTCATTGGGAGTATATCTACTAAACAGTGATTTTTTTTTTTTTCATGTGGGCAGTGGAGTGCTCATTTAAGGAGTTTCTGACTTATTTATGTCTTGACTTGTAATTAGCATCTGATTGTTAGATCCTTCAGTCATAAGTTATTATGTTATTTAATATTGCTACAGAATCTTGACAGATATATATCACACATATATTACATAGTTACATAGTTACATAGCTGAAAAGAGACTTGCGTCCATCAAGTTCAGCCTTCCTCACATTTGTTTTTTTGCTGTTGATCCAAAAGAAGGCAAAAAACCCAGTTTAAAGCACTTCCAATTTTGCAACAAGCTAGGAAAAAAATCCCTTTTGACCCCAGAATGGCAGTCAGAGTTATCCTTGGATACAGCAGTTATTACCCTACATTGAAAGATTATATCCTTGAATATTCTGTTTTTGCAAGTATGCATCTAGATGCTATTTGAACATCTGTATGGACTCTGATAAAACCACTTCTTCAGGCAGAGGATTCCACATCCTTATTGTTCTTACAGTAAAAAGATATATCTTGACAATTGACCCATGATCTATTTGTATTATCACCTGAATAAAAAAAATAAAATTAAAAAGTGTGCCTTTATAGTGAAACTCTGAAAAGGTTTAACGTTTTCAATAATACAGTATTTATTTCCATTCCATTCAAGAAATAAATTTAAAAAATCAATGGAGGCTTTTTTAGCTTCATTCTGGGTTATTCAATAAGCTGAGAATTGTCGGGAATTCAAAGTGAATTTCAAATTTAAGTCCCAAATAACTGAATTGGATAACAACTCAGCCATGCTTCCATTGTAGCCAAAAATTCTATTGAATATGTGACAATTCTCACTGCAATGAATTTCCCTGTTTTGGTAAAATTCATATGAGGTTATTTGATAAATAATAATTGTGGTGACTTAAGAAGAGACCCCAATTGAAATTAATATTTATTATCCAGGGTGATAAAAGAGTTACCTTTACATTGTTAAGCTTCCCTTTCACTTTCATTTTGAGCCAGTATATAAGGCAGGAGCCCAGTTAGACGCAGAAGGAAATAGACTTTCACAGCACAAGGTAAGGGTGTGGGTGAATATGTAATTATGAAAAACATAATTTCAGTATAATAAAATGTGTGTGTGTGTGTAAAATATAATCAAATGGCTGAAAATAGACTTTAAATGAACAGAAATGTAATAGAAATAAAATTAGAAAAATAAATGGTCGGGATATCTTCTGCTATAGTATTTCAATAGTTGACATATTGTTGTGATTCTAAAATTGGTGTTCTGTTCTAAAAATTGGTCTAATATACTACAATTGGTGTAATCACCATGGCAACCAGAGGAGCCAACAGGCACATTCCATTGGCTCATTTTTCACATTTTTGCACTAATTTTTAGAACAGGACACCTTAATTTCCCCCAATGTAAGTACCAGGGCATTCATTTGTCCTGTTGTTGTTGGCTTATGGGATTTTAGGACTCCAAGCCATGTTATTATATAACTGGCATGGCCACCACGCAATATTTTAGTAACCTCCTTTCCACATGGAAGAAGAAGAAGGGCCTTTTGGCATGCCCACGCTGGTTAATACTGGGGTCCGGGAGAAATTGAATTATTTAAAAGTTGCACTACTGAAAGCAACATAAATTTCCATTAGGCTTGTCAGTAAGAGTAGAAAAGTTCCGAAACCACGGTGGTACTCCGCAGAAATGGCCAAAATAGTAAATAACAAAAAGTTAGTATTTAGCAAATTATTAAAAAACCCAGAGTGAGGAAGATAGACGGATCCATGAGATTAGGCAGAAAGAGGCAAAGCTAAAAACATTTTTTAGATGCATAAATGAGAAAAGGAAAGTAAAACAAGGATTAGCAAAAGAAGGAAGGTATGTAGAAGAGGACAAAGGTCTAGCTGACTGCCTCAATGAATATTAACAGATAAAATTTGAAGGAAAGGGACCTCAGGTAGGAGAAAAGACACAAATTGTTTGTGAATTTACAGAGGAGGAGGTTCTGTTTCAACTGTCAAAAGTAAAGACAAATAAGTCATATACTTAAAATATTACATTCTGAAATTCTACTTCAGCTCATAATTTAAAATATTGTTTTAAATAATTTAAATAAGTTAAGGAAGACATTATACAAATAAAAAAATACATTTGTACTATTACTATTTGTAAAGTAGTTTAATTTAGCAGTTATTTCCTCAGATAGCTATTTGTAATGTTTGCACTGGTTTATGGCCATTCTAGGAGGCACAATGCAGAACCCCGTGTGTCTGATAGAGAACAGACAAAGAAATGAATTGGTCGTGAGACACGAAGGATTGCAGATTCTTAACAACATCAATCAGCCTCTGGTCGTTGTGGCAATTGTAGGCAAATATAGGACTGGGAAGTCCTATCTAATGAATTATCTAGCAGGACGCAGGAAAGGTGATTATGAAATTATTAATATACAAACATAAAAACTCTTAAACACCCATAGCTAACATTGTAATAAACAGCATTCATCCAATATGGCCCTTTTTTAAAGAAGGAAAGTCCCTGTATTCCCTTTGTTCTATTCCTCTTTTAGAATCTCCATATTTTTGTCATATATGAGTGCATAGCATAGCTTTAAATTAATAAGACTCACTGCAATGTGTCTGTAGACTGCAAATAATACATCTAGAATCCAAGGAGAGAAAAAGGAGAGAAAAACAAGTAGCAAGAGAGGTGAGAACGGACAACTCAATTACCCTGCCCTTTGGTGGGTCCCCGCTCAGATCTCATGCTGGTTTTAGCTCATTTTGTGCAATTACAGAGAGAACATATCTGAAGCATATCAGACTGGTCCCACCCATATGGGCAGTCCAGATCCAAAATGCTAGCAAGTTCCCTCTGCTCGAGAGATACGGCAACCCCAGACGATTGTTTCAACCTTGTAAGGTGTGACGGTAGTCACCATCACCGAGAGCTTAAAATTGACAATTCAATTAGGTATCTGAATGACTCCTATGTTTAAGTAACCCTGTGTCCATTATGGGTGCAGGGTGTGTGTTTGGGGTTACGGGTGCAGAGTTTTCGTTTGGGGTTAAATGTTAGTGTGATCTCCTGTCTTGCTAATGCTTGTAATTAACTAGGTGGATTTGGCTGTGGAGCCTATACAGCGCCACCTGTTGGTTGCAAGGATCTAGCAACAGCGATATGCACTACCTGAATAACAAGACTTGCTCATTTGCATATTCAGGTAGATTTGCATATTGCTTATTCTGCAGGCTGGAGAGATATTTTCTGGTTAGTATTGTCTTCCCCATCTCTTTATAAATATATCATTGTGTTATAACAAGTTTCTATATGTTATCTGCTATAATTTGACTGTTTGTAATTTTATTGAAGTTGTCACAGCAATCTAAGTGTAATAAACATATGGGCTAGTCCCGAGTTAAATAAAGTTTTGTATGTTAGTTCCTTTTGGAACTTCTGTCCTGTGTGGATTTGTAGGGATCCCAGTGACAGAGTCTTCATACCTGTTTGCTGGCAATAATTAAAATCACTGTAAGCAGAGCTGCAGCGGAATAGGCAGAGGGGACACTACTTGCCTGGAAGGGTCCAGGGTCCAGGGTGGTCCAGGGTGGGAAGCAGCAGGGTGGTCAAGCTGCGGCGGGTAGGGGCTGAAGTGCTGATGGTAATAGCTAGAAAGTGTGTTTGACGGAGGTACCCAGTCGAGGAACCAGGCGGTCCGCCACATTTGGTGGCAGCGGTGGAATGGATTCCTAGTGAGTATAGGAACACCCTGGAGACACCATTTGGATTTATAATTGATGGCAACGCTAGCATTCGCGCAGAGGAGCTCAGCGGAATGGAGTGAGCAGACCTCCTGTCAGCGTTCACCCTCAGGGACAAAAGTGACCCAGAATGGAGAGATGTAACCCGGGGGCTATATTGGGAAGATGCCCTGGAAAAGATCCAGTTTCAGTGGAGAGAGAGACAGCACTTGTGGGACCAGGTAGCCCAACGGATGTCGCTTCTGGGAAAACAACACGAGGCAGAGCGGCTAAGACACCTGGAATCCCTAATAGAGAGAGAACTGATCATAGACAATTCATATTGGGCACCGTGGTGGTACGCAATACAACAGGATGCCTGGCTGGCGGAGGGTGCCTCGCCAGAGGGAGAAGGCTACGGTGGCCCTGGCCTGTTATGGAAGGCCCTTGAGAAGGATGGTCATGATACTGGGCCATTTATGCCTACCGGAATGCTGTGTTACAGTATCCCTCAGTCCTGGGGCTGGGACCTGACTTTGCCCGTCTGGCTGCCATGGAGTGGGAACTAGAGAGAGATTATGTAGAGCTACTAGACGCAGTTAAGCCACAGGACAGTGACGCAGAGTAGGAAAACTGGGTGGCTGACCCAGACCTGCCACTCTCTGGAGGGGGAGACCAGGCTGCTTCCCTATGCGCTCCCGAAGTAGGAGATCTGATTGACTGGGATGACTGCCCATTGGCAGGTGGAGATGGCACCGAGGTCTCTCCACCGGCCCTACAGGGATGCTTGGTGTGGTGGCCACTCCAAGAGGATGAGGGGTTTCACCGCCTGAGCTGTTCTTTTCCTCTTGTTCAGAGTGATGTTTTCCTATTTTCCAGGATAGTATAGCTGTATAGCTCTTACAAGAGCTGGTGATTATAGCAGGTATAGCTGATCCCTACAAACATGAGATGAGACTCTATGTTGAGGGTGCACAGAAACTGATTTTAATGGGGCCACACTTGGCCTTTTATGGCAATCCCCATGCAAGGGGTACTCCCACCTGGACCTGGAAGACTGCAGCACAAAGTCACAGACCAATGACAAATGTGTTCAAGTGCATGGCACTTCCATATACAATCATACAATCGCTCCCCTCTGCTGGGAGATAATTGAGTCAGATATTGTAACAACTCATTTATCTCCAGGAGAAAAAAACACAAATTTTTACAGACCCCAGAAAGTACTCCCAGAACTCATGGGAACCCCACAACAGTTATATCCCCTGATAGCCCCTATCTGGGTGACCAACATATCCATAAATCACCCAAATCGGTTCAGGGGTTCGGGATTTCAATGAAAGTCCTTTTTATGACCGACCGCACACGAGGCTCCTGCCCAAAATAGTACCATAGATTCAAACTGTGCGGTCAGTCTCTTTCGGGAGTCTAAAACATAACAAAATACCGAAGGTATCAGTTCGTATGAAGGCTGGTCGTGTGCCCCTCGTCCGGGGGTTTGGCTCTACCGAACGCCGTTCCAAAGACTCGAACTGAACCGAACATACTTGCGGCTGGAAGTCCCAGCGGTGTTTGCGCTGTCAAGTGCACGATTTTAGTTCCATGCACACGATGACCAAACACCGCTGTAGGCGTTCGCGGAATTAAGATGGCTGCTGCCTCGTGTTCGGCAATACGAACCACGTCCACCCAGCCGACCACTTAGAATGTTATTAGCTTGTGGTTTCTCCAAGTCTGTTAAGTGGTCATACAGGTTAATGAGCGGCACGCAACAGCTCTGGGTGGTCTGGCCGTTCGGTTGTTTGTTCGGTATTTGAACTGGGTAGGTTTTAAGTGTTCGGTTAGTACATGTACCGAATAATTCAAGGTAGCACAATTAAAATAAACAGAAAAAATTAACAGGGTGCAGTCCATGGAGAAGGCATCTCTCACAGTGGGCAGCCGGCCCAGATCCCCAACCACAGCCGGAGATACCAGAAGAGGAGACAGTTGGTAACCTCTTCTCAATTACAGGGTGACCTTATAGACTCGTCCTTGGGGGAACCCCAACTGGCAGGGACTGAGTATGTACCAGGGAGAGGAGCTGAGCAGGCTTTCTCCTCAGCAGCAGAATGAGTATCTCACCATAACCCAAGCTGCAGCGCTGGCATCGGGACAGAGTGCCACTTTCCTCTGCCTCCAACCTGCTGTTGCTCCTGCCTGGGCCGCCATCAGGTGGTGACAACCATGATGCTTGTCACAGGCCCGGCGGTCCTGGGCGTCTAGTACACACAAACACTACATCCACTACACTAACACACTCTGCGTTCACTATACACACTGCATCCGCTACACAAACACACACTCTGCATTCACTGCACAAACAGTATCTAATACACACAAACACTACATCCATTACACACATTCTAATTCACTTCCACAATACACACCACATTCAGTCCTACAACATTTGCAGTGGACTAGGTAGGAGTCCTGTGGGTGCACTCGTGGGCGGGCCGGGAGGGGCCCAGACCTTGTGCTTTGTCAGGGGCCCCAAAATTTCTGGTGGCGGCCCTGGCTCCTGCATGTGTGAGAGCAGAGAGGCCCCAAGAGCTCACCATACCACCAAGTGAAGTGCTGGCATCGGAGAAGAGTGCAGCTGGCCTCTGTTCCCAACTAAAAAAGGAGAAGTCTATTTGTCCCGCATTGACTACAGTCTGTTTGTCCCGCATTGATGGGACTACAGTCTATACTAGTGTAATCCTACAATGCAGTGCAGTTGTTCCAAATCCCTAACTCATTGGTTTAGAGACACCAGCCCCTCTAAATTCTCTCCAACGGGTGACAGGATTTAAGGGAGAGGGTGTAGTTGACACCTCTCCCCAGTGGTAGCTACACACTATGGGAGATGATGAGATTGGCTGGGTAAGTGACTCTTTTAAAACTGTATTCTCTCCTGAACATTGCTTTGGCGTTGGAATCAACAATATGCTGGGCAGTCAGCCAGATCCCCAACCCCCTGGCATGGGGTCCTCAGCCACTCAGACATCTCTCCATCAGCAGTTGATCCTTCAGGGAGAGTAACTTCCCCCCTCCCCAGCAGTAGCTCAAGTTACCAGGAGCGAAGAAAATCGGCTCTCCCAGCAGCAGAATGAGGAGCTCACCATAACCAAAGCTGAAGTGCTGGCATCGGGACAGAGTGCCACTGGCTGTGGATTTGTGTCCTGTGTGGATTTGTAGGGATACCAGTGATAGAGTCTTCGGACCTGTTTGCTGGTTGGAGGATGCCTCTAGCCCTGGGATAAAGCAAGATAGCTAGGCTGGAGAGAATCGCTGTTAGCAGAGCTGCAGCGGAATAGGCAAAGGGGATGATACCTGCCTGGAAGGAGAGCTTTGACCACTGGAAGCTGGATCCAGGGTGGGAAGCAATGATGAGACCCCAGCCAAGCTGCGGCGGGTAGGGGCTGAAGTTCTGATGGTGTCCCGTTGATAGCTAAGAAGCTTGTTTGGCAGAGGTACCCAGTCAGTCCGCCACATAAGGTATCATCAGTAAGCTATAGCCAATATCCCTCTAGGCACCGTGAGCAAGGTGAGCGAAAACCAGCTTGAGATCTGAGCGGGGACCCACCGAAGGGCAGGCTAATTGAGCTGTTGTCCGTTCTCACCTCTCGTTACTTGTTTTTCTGTCCTTAATTTTAAAGGGCAATCCAGATGTGGACCCCTTGCTCATGGTGCCTAGAGGGATATTGGCTATACCTCACAGATGATACCTTAGAAGTTCGAAACCATTGTCTGGCGTTGCCGTATCTCTCGTGCAGAGGGAACTTGCTGGCATTTTGGATATGGACTGCCCGTATGGGTGGGACCAGTCTGATATGCTTCATATTTGTTCTCTCTGTAATGGTACAAAATGAGCTAAAACCAGCATGAGATCTGAGCGGGACCCACCGAAGGGCAGGCTAATTGAGCTGTTGTCCATTCTCACCTCTCTTGCTACTTGTTTTTCTCACATTTAGAATCCAGTCTATGTATGCAAGATGTTTTGGATTTGTGCTAACATCAGTTACATATGTTTATCAGCATAAATGTTTATTAGTAAGTCATGTTTCAGAATAGCGCCACCTACCAGTTTGCTTGTTTGTCCCTTGTTTGGGAAGCATAATGCGGTATTATCAGAACCATAACAGCTGTTACATTATGTAGACTAAAAAAGGTATTTCACAAAAGCAGTGGGAGAAAAAAACACTTTTTTTTAAAAAAATGACCACTTTAGTTTAAACTTTTTGACACAAAATATTAAATCTTCTTTGTTATTGTGTTACGCAAATAATTTTTTCCCCAGGATTTCCTCTCGGATCCACCATCCAGTCAAAGACTAAAGGGATCTGGATGTGGTGCGTCCCTCATCCTTCCAAGCCAGAACACACATTGGTTCTACTGGATACAGAGGGCTTGGGAGATGTGGAGAAGGTAACTGCAATTTAGTCAAACACATGAATTATATTTCTGTTTATCATCCTTTAATGTGATAACCAAACAAGTAGGTTGGGCTATTCTGAAACATTTCAGGACTAAACTAAATTGTGATATGAAATGTGATTTAATTAGAAGAAATGAGGCTCAAAAATGAAAACTTTGTATTTTAAATATTCCTTCCTATCTCTTACAGGGAGACAGTGTCAATGATGCCTGGATCTTCTGTTTGGCTGTCCTCTTGAGCAGTAATTTTGTGTTTAATAGTGTGGGGACCATAGACCAGCAAGCTATGGAACAATTACAGTATCCTTTACATTAAAACGATTTACATAAAGAGGTATAACATAACAAGGACAGGGCAGGAAAATGTTCTATCAGAAGTGTGCTTGAAAAGTAAGGTTTTTAGTACACTGATCAGTCACAACATTAAAACCACCTGCCTAATATAGTGTAGTCCCCCCTCGTGCTGCCAAAGCAGCTCTGATGCATTGAGGCATGGACTCCACAAGACCTCTGAATGAGTCCTGTGGTATCTGGCCTCAAGACATTGGCAGCTGATCCTTTAAGGCCTGTAAGTGGCGAGGTGTGGCCTCCATGGATTGGTTTTGATGATCCAGCACATCCCACAGATACTCAATCAGTTGGAGATCTGGGGACTTTGGAGGCCAATCAACACATCTTGAACGCTTTGCCATGTTCCTCAAACCATTCCTGAAGATTTTTTACAGTGTGGCAGGGTACATTATCCTGCTGAAAGAGGCCACTGCCGTCAGAGAACACCGCTGCCATGAAGGGGTGTATATGGTCTGCAACAATCTCTAGGTGGGTGGTACATGTCAATGTAACATTCATTTGAATGCCAGGACCCAAGGTTTCCCAGCATTACCCAGAGCATAACACTGCCTCCACCGGCCTGCCTTCTTCCCATAGTGTATCCTGCTGATCTAAAAGATAACATGATTCATCAGACCAGGCAACCTTCTTCCATTGCTCTCTGGTCCATTTCTGACATTCACATCCCCAATGAAAGTACTTTTGGCGGTGGACAGGGGTCATGGGTACACAGCCCCATATACAGTAAACTGCAATGCACTGTGTGTTCTGACACCTTGCCATCATGACCAGCATTGTTTTTCAGCAATTTGAGCTATAGAGGTTCTTCTGTGTGAATAGACCAGGTGAGCTAGCCTTCACTCTCCATGTGCATCAATGAGCCTTGGGCGCCCATGACCCTGATTTTGTTCACCAATTGTCCTACCAATTGTCTGCACCAGTTTTGGTAGGTACTAGTCACTTCATACCGGGAACACCCCACAAGACTTATGGTTTTAGAGATGCTCTGATCCAGTTGTCTAGCCATCTATTTGGCCCTTGTCAAAGTCACTCAGATCTTTTTGCTTGCTCAGTTTTCATTCTTCCAACACATGAAAATTTAAGAAGTGACTGTTCACTTGCTGCCTAGTATATCCAACCCCCTAACAGGTGCCATTGTAATGATATAATCAATGTTATTCATTTCACCTGTCAGTGGTTTTAATGTTGTGGCTGATCAGTGTTTATCATATGAACTGAAGGCATTGTTTGTAGTTAAACACTCATTTTTAGATTATTTTAATAATTTATATTTATTATCAGCAAGACACATTGTTGTCCAGGTCTGTTTTTTTTTTGTTTTTTTTATTGTTTTTGTTGCATATCAATTCATTATATCTAATTTGGACTTTTCATTTGTTCAATTTCCTCTTTCTGCTTTTTCCATTTTCACTACATTATTATTGCACAAAATATGGAATGACAACAGTTTAGATTGGTTTATTGAACAGGAGTTGACATTTCACTAACCATCATATACAAAATACAACCCACCTACTCGAAATTCATTGACAAATGCTTTCCTATGAACAGTTTGAATGCGTGTGCGGCTCTCTACTTGGGAGCCGACGTGGGAAGGGGAGGAGAGGTCACCAGCGCCGAGGAAACCTGGCACTGGATTAAGGTAAGTAACTGAAGGGGTTTTAACCCGTTCAGTGCAAAGGGAGGGGGGCCCTGAGGGATGGGAGGGGGACCTAAGGATGCTATAATGTCAGAAGAACGAGTTTGTGATCCTTTAAAGTTTATATACATAAACAGAAAAAACAAACAAACATACACACGCACAAGATAAAAAGATTTCAGAAAAAAAGTATACAATTACATTTACCTTTATCACCCTGTAAAGAAAAATCATTCAGGATGTATATAAAAAGTTTTGTCTATAACAATAAGAGTAGGATGGAGGGGCTCTTGTGTAAATATATTCATCTTCATGTATGCAATATTAAAAAATTATCTGCTAATATATAGCCAAGTGTTGGTGGAAATGAACTCACAAAATCGGAGTTTGAATAAACCCCTATGGAGATCCACAGTATATGCCATCAATGGAGCATTTATATAATAGATACAGTAAGTAATGGGTCCCATAGGAAGGGTAGCTCCTTTGGGGACAGTTTCATCCTACAAGGTAACGTCCTTTTATATAAAGTAAAGTCTTTGTCATTATGGTTTTACAGATACTTTTGTTTCATACAAACCTGCATTTTGATATCTGTTACTGGCATCACGTTGTTAGATTAGGTCTTTCTAGTATCTGGTATGTGGTCCTCTCTGTTGATGGTTTCCACCTATATTAACACTAACAGTTTGAGAATGGGTAGACTTTGACCTATGCCTCTACGTGACATTCAGTTGTACTTTTATTTAATGTGTTTATAGCCAACTCTTGACTTGATAGTGTTTCCTGTTGTGTTGATAACCCAGACTGTACTGTCAAAATGCCTTTTTTTCTGAGCTTGTCCCAGCTATGTAACAGAACTAACAAAGAGGATCCGGTTGAAATCATCTTCGGATGATACGTCTACTGAATTCAGGAAGATTTTCCCGACATTTACTTGGTGTGTTCGAGACTTATGTTTGGAAATGGTACATGACGGAGAGGAAATAACACCTGATGAATATCTGAGAAACTCTCTGCGATTCAAACAAGGTATCAGACGAGATGCCAGATGAAACACAAACAATGCGATTGTCTGTGAATCTAAGTCATAGAATTCCCTGTATCAAGATATTACTGATTATACCTTGTATTCCCCATTTTAAGACACAGGTATTTGAACCACAAAAGCTTTTGCTTTTTTAAACGGTTGATTTAAAGTTATAAAACATATCTAGAGGAAAATTGACTTATTAATTCACACAAAATACAAGGCAATTTGGAGAGATCATGTTTGATGATATTCCAGCTAAATTTCTTCAATTTTAAAGAACCAAAATTTTATTTTGGAATTGTCTGTAGGGTTTGTCCACATAGAGAATGTTTAGCACTTATAAAAACAAAAATAATTCAGTGCTTGTGTGTCACATGTTCATTCTCACCTTGTGGTGTCTCTGGGGATAACTACCTTACGGGCATTGGTGGAGATGTTGGTCGGCAGCCCTGTGCTGGTGTGTCTGACTCCTGCGGCAAATTGAAAGACGTCGGCCGCTGCGGACCCATAATAATTTATAACCCCACGTCCGCCCACGGTATTAACGATGTCAACGTGCATGCACGTTCTGGGGTCAGAGGCCGAGTACTGCCAATCGGATTTAAAGGAGACTTATTTAAACTCCTTTCTTGCCTTTCCTTATTGCCTTGTCATGGATTCCCTTAGTGGTTGTCCGAGAGTGTGTTCCTGAGCGTTTATTTCTGGTTATTGACTTTGGCTTCGTTTGACTTCCCTGCATTCTGGTACCCTTGACTTTTGGCTTTCCCTCATCGTTGTGTTTCATTCTGTGTCCCTGACCTCGGCAAGTATTCTGACTATTCTCTGATACGTTAAGTCCAGCCATTCTAAGGCCGATAAGACGTTACCTTTAGTCCTAGGTGTTATACAGTTCTGCGTGCTGGATCAACTAGTATCCTGACATTGTGTAAATCTGGTTTAGTTCAATGGGCAGTTTAATTCCCAGGTCCAGGGTCTTTCTTTTCCCGTAGAAATACAGTGAAACAGAGGGGTTGGTGTAGCGCCAAAGTTGTCCTTATATCAGCATATGCAACAACAAAAGACGTGGTAGAAATTGTAGTGTAGTAAGTTGAGGGTTTATGAGGAAATAAAGAGTAAGCAAATTTGAACTTTTGATAAAGCCATTTTTATGGTGAAAGGGTTATAGTGTATTTTGATACAGAGTGTATTCTCTATATTGTTTTAACCTGTTTATTTACTATTTTATAAATAAAAGTACTTTTTTATTGGACCTGAACATCTGCTACTGCTGGATTCTTGAACTTTATATAATTGGTGGTGTTATATAGCAACTGTGCCTCTGGATTGAGCAAATCTTACTTTGCTCTATTAAATGTGAGTAGGTTTTACTTATTTTATTTGTTTTACACTCCAGTTTTATTTATTTTTTATATCTATCTATCTACAGAGAAAACCCAATATCACCTACATCCTTGAGTGGGGATTATACCACTACACGCTACACCTTTGGAGCCACTATTCTGGCTCCAAAATATGTGAGTACATTATTTTATTTAACTACTGTCAGGATTCCTTAGAGACCCAACACGCAGGATGTAAAAGAACACGCATACCGGGCCTTAGAATGCCAGGACTTAACTTCAGGCAGATAAAGAATGGTCAGGGACAAGCCAAGGTCAAGGGAGCCAGAAATCATGGAATCAAGGAATGCAAGCCAAGTCAAGGGAACCAGAAAGCACAGATTGCAAGATACCAAAGTTGTGTCAGGAATACAGAAATGAGAACAGTCAGAAAACCGAGGTCAAGATACAAGAACATACTGAAAAGCAGAGCACTATTGGGAACTGTGAGTAGAAACTCAACAGGGCAATAAACTATGGTTGAACTTGCCTTTTATAGGCTGGATCTTTAAATTTGAAGCCACGTCCCTAAAACGTCCAAGTTTGAACGTTTTGGCGGGCCATGACGCCATTTGCATCGTGACGTCGGCGTGTGCGCGATGCATCTTAAAAGGGGCGGAGCTACAGTTAGCAGCGTTGAAACCGCTGGAGTGGAGACTAGAAGCAGGAGCACGGCCAGAAACGTGAGTAAGCATGACACCTACTCTTTCTTACAATACCTGGCATATTGCACTGTATATGTTCCATCTCTCGTACATTTATTCGTTAATATGCATCTAGGTGTCAATGCATCTGATTAATTTGAGGCAGTCCTATCCATTTACGTGCTACCTACAGTCAACTGCGCTCTATTAAAACAACAGTTATAGTTTGTATTTATCTAAATGTCTTCCTTTCGCCATGTATTGTAATTCTTCAGCAGTGCAGTAACTTCTCAAAAGTCGAAGATGTTTGTCTGTTTGAACTATTTACATCAATACTTATTTGTGATTAACAGTTAATTACAAGTACCCAATTGTCGAGGTAGTGTTTTTATAAATATATTGAAACTATATTTTTATTCCTCTTCCCACAATTAATTTATAATATGGCCCATGCAACGAACTGATGTGTTAGTGTCATTGTACTATGTCTTCAAATTATGAGTTTATTTTCGAGCTTGAGTTAAGTATATAATGCATTATTTTCCTCCCACCTTCTTAATTATTTATTTATTTTGATCAGGAGAAATCAACAATGTTTGAGAGGATATCTGAGTAGGTTTAAATTGATTATTTATGTGAAATTTTACCACATATTTTTCAATACATTGCATAGATAATAGTGAGAGATTGAACTACAAAGTTATTCTACTTGCAGGCTGAACAACAATGCTGCGGGTAAATACACCTGACTAAGTCATAGTCAGTGGCTGCTTGGTGTCTTTAAAATATGGTTGTATGTCCTACCTCATTGACTTATCCAAATAGATACAGTCATTCTAAGTCAATTGTTTTCTGAAAGTGCTGCTGTTTGACTGTTTCCCTGCTTACATACCCTAGTATTCAATGACGTTATACGGCGTTATATGACGTTAGCCGATACAGTCTGCTATAGAGGATCATTGCATTAAAAATTAATAGGAAACACCCCAAACTCACTGTCAAACAGTATCCCCAAGGATACCACGCCATGTCAGACACTAAAGCTAAAGGAGTTGCTATCTATTTCCATAGGGACTGGGCATTCACACCATCCGACCAATTTGCCAGTCGAGACGGGAGGATACTAATACTAGTGGGCTCCTTAAATGGTTTATCGGTAACTATAGCTTCCATTTATGCGCCGAACGATAAGCAAAAAACCTTCCTCAGCAAAGTGTTCAGGACAATTGACAAGCTCAGAGTGGGCCATAAAATTATATGCGGGGACTTTAATTGCGTTCCAGATCCCGATGTCGATATAAAACGAGAGGGGAACAAATTACCACAACAACATTCAATCTCACTAGGCCAACATTTTAGGAAATTATTGCACGGGCATGACTTCTATGACACATGGAGAGCCTTGAACCCGAGCGGGAGGGACTACACGTACTACTCGTCGGTCCGTAGGACCTACACGAGAATTGATCTCTGTATACTCGACACCAAAACATTGCCCTTCGCCATTAAGGCTCACATCGGGCCGATCACGTGTTCTGACCATGCCCCATACGTTGTCACTATGCGCATTCCGTACCCAGCTAAGGGTAGAGGCACGTGGCGCCTGAATGAAGGTCTGTTAGACGTACCGGCACATCTCCAACGACTACAGGCCCGGGCTGAGGAATTTTTCGCTGACCATGTTAACTGCTCGTCATCCGACGCCACAAAATGGCTGGCCCATAAGGCGGTCATGAGGGGAGAATTAATCCAGATAGGGGCTAGAACAAAGAGGCTGCACAACACGACACTGGACAAGGTAGAGAAAGACCTGGCCACAGTAGAATCCACCCATAAAACAAACCCCACTACGGCAACACATAAGCGACTGATGTCACTTCGCACAACACTTCATAGCCTCAACCTCGCTGTAACAGAATGACACTTGAGGTTTTTGAAGCAATCATACTATGTCATGGGTAATAAAGCTGGGAAAATGCTGGCCAATAAAGCGAAACAAACCAAATTGCAATCTAAAATCCCGTACATAACCTCCACAACTGGGGATAAATTATACAACCCCCAAGACATAGTGAACGAACTAGCGAAATACTATGCCTCATTATACCAATTAGAAAAAGATCCCTCCACTCACCAACCGACGGAAGACGAGATAGCACGTTTTCTAGATAGAGCGCCCCTAGCTAGTCTAACACAAGCACAACGAACCCAACTAGAGAACCCCTTCACGGAGGGCGAAGTAGAAACAGCAATCAAATCCCTCCCCAAACATAAGGCCCCCGGACCAGACGGGATATCCAACTACTATTACATAAAACTGACCAAACAACTACTCACGCCTCTCACCAACCTATTTAATCACATAAAAACTGCAGGGACTATGCCCACGGAAATGCTGGAGGCACATATAGTGACGTTACCCAAACCCAACAAACCCCCCACACACTGTGCAAACCTACGCCCGATCTCCCTCCTGAACGCAGACACCAAACTGTATGCCAAACTCCTCGCTTCTAGAATTAAACCAATCCTAGCAGACCTCGTCTCGGAGGAGCAAGCGGGCTTTGTCCAGGGGCGTCAAGTAGGGGACAACACTAGACATTTCCTGAACATGAGTGAATGGGCGAACGCCTCACATCAAGCGGGACTCTTGCTAGCGCTTGACGCTGAGAAGGCGTTTGATCGCCTACACTGGAGGTATATGTTGCTCACCCTCACCAAAATGGGATTCCCACTAAACTTTAGATCAAGCATAATGGCACTGTATCAAAACCCTTCAGCAAAAGTTTTTAGCACGGGCTTCGTATCTAACAGGCTCGCCATATGTAATGGCACTAGGCAAGGCTGTCCCCTCTCCCCCCTAATATTTATTCTATGCTTGGAACCGCTAATAAGGATAGTAAAAAATGATCCCAATATACATGGGCTGCACACCCAGGGGGGCGAAAAGAAATTAGCTCTGTTTGCCGATGACATACTGCTGTTTGTTACAAACCCGGAGTCCTCCCTTCCCACTCTAATGAGAACGCTGGTAGACTATGGGGAGATATCGTACTATAAAAACAACATAACCAAAATGCAAGCTCTACCCATAAACCTACCAAAACCTACATTAGAAAGGATAAAACCGCAGCATCCCTTTGATTGGCGCACCAATTCCTTAAAATACCAAATCCCTTCAAACGGTGACCAAAGAAAATCACTACCCCGTGCTAAAGAAAATCAAATCCTCCCTCGAACAGTGGGCTAGCATGGATACCTCCTGGCTCGGACGTATCAACCTAATTAAAATGATGACACTACCACACATCCTATACCTATTCAGAACCCTGCCCATATTCCTCCCGACTGCGCTGCTCAAACAATTCCAAAGCACGATCAATGCACACATCTGGAAGAGGAAACCCCCGAGAGTGAATAAAGGGTGTCTGGGACTTCCTTATGTCCAAGGAGGACTGGGGATGCCGGACGTTACTGCATACTACAGGGCCTCTTTCTTGGCACAGGGACTGCGACTCATTAGGAACCATAACCTCCCCCGTAAACCGCTCTGGCTGTCATTAGAAAATGAATGCCTAGAGGCACATGACACAGTCCATTACTTATGGACATGCTCCTCGCCCCGAACATCTGCGGGCACGACCCTGAGATGCTCGATCACTATGCTTAAAGCATGGAAGACCTGGTGTCCGAAGGTGCTGGACCCGGTACGATTATTTAGGGAGGCACCCATCACAACACTCCCCAGGCATACAGGTGGGCAAATGGCTCAACAAGGGAGCGAGATTAGTGAAGGATTTAATGTCAGGAGACGCGGTGAAACCATTCCCTGAATTGAAAGAGGAACTGGGGTTAGACTTGAGAGATCTGTATCTTTATTTAAGAATCAAAAACATAATATTAACCCATGGTAAACAAACAGCCGCTCGAACTGACTCTCCGGTACTCCAACCTAGCCACTTATCTCTGACAAAAGCAGCAAAACCACTCTCCCTATGTTACAATGCGCTGGTCGCAGATAACACCCCAGATAAACTGAAATACATGGCAAAATGGGAGCAGGACCTGGGATTTCATATCTCCCAAGCAGACTGGCAGTCTGCAAGGGCAAATACAAAACAGGCATCGAGTAGCCTCTCGCTATGGGAGGCCTACTGCAAGGTAACTATGAGGTGGTATATGGTACCACAGAGACTAGCGAGTATGTACTCAGGCGCTACGAACTTGTGCTGGAGATGCGAGTCGGACACTGGAACCATGTTACATGTGTTCTGGAAATGCCCGTTGCTAGACGGATTCTGGAAACAAATCCAAACCCTGATCTCAAGTAAGACTGGCACCTCCATCCCATTGCGACCGGAAAAGTACTTATTACATGTTATACCAGACCTAGACACACACCCTCACAAAAAAGTGATTCTGAATATATTGACGGTAGCAAAAGTAGCCTTAGCTGGTAACTGGAAAAGCAAACAAGTTCCTCAGGTAGAGGTGATTATCAACAAAATGAATGTGATTAGCATATACGAGAAAATGGCCAGCAAGCTGAAAGGATGCCTAGGAAAGTATGATAAAGAATGGGTATGTTGGGCGGCTACATAGTCACTGAATGACAACTAAGACAAACCGACTGCTCGAACCAAATGGTTAACCCCCATAGCGGGCCAGTAAGGAATCACACAGGCGCAAACGTTAGGGGACCAAAGGGGTTAGGGCGTTGAGGTGCTCAGGCGAACATATAGCCTCATCAATCTCACAAGTTACATAAGGAAGGTGATTTATAATGTACTGCTGGCTGTGGTGTGAAGCTGTGACCAGGGATTTCCCCCCCCCCCCCCCTTTTCCTTCTGTATCCCATCCCCTTCCAAGTTATATATAAAAAAAATGCACCGCATGCTTTGAAGCTGTATGCATCACATCGAACATCGCCTGACACACAGATTATTTGTATATTTAATTGGTTGATTGACCAATTGAGTGAGAAGTACGGCTGGATACAGGGCGAAATGTAGAATGTGGCGGACTGTAATTATTTACCATGTTATGTGTTGCAAATGTCATTCAATAAAAATGATAAATGAGAAAAAAAAATTAATAGGTACATCACTACAAGTGCTACGCATACATCTATGGACTGGAGTCTTTTTTCCACCTAAACTGCTATGTAACTATTTAGATGTATGCACAATGTAAGCCAGATGTATGTACAGTAATATAGTGTTTTCCTTCTGTGTAACCAGATAACAGTAAGAATGCTGAGGACTACAACCGTCCACGGAAATGCATCCTAGAATATTTCCACTCACATAAATGCTTTGTGTTTGAGCGTCCAGCTTCAACAAGAAACCTGCGTCGTCTTGAAGAGCTTCAGGACTCTGATCTGGAAGAGGAGTTTGTTGAACAGACCCGTGTCTTCTATGAATACATCATTAAAAATGGAAGTGTTAAAACTATTGCAGAAGGAAAACAAGTTACTGGAAAAAGTGAGCAACATTAAAATGGTATTTTTAAAACGTTCATTCAAAAACTTGCACATTACTGGAGCACCTCTAGGCATAATAACCTCTAAAGAACGTTTTAGTGGTTATAGTGCCAGGAGAACCTAGGACCTCCCAATGTGCAATATGTAAAATCCATTAGCTCAGTATGCTTACAGTACATTATTGGTATGTATTTCATATTTACAAGGAATTAATTCCACAAGAAAATCAGCATAACACAAGAAAATTATTTCATTGCCTACCTAACGTGAAAACCCATCTCTGCTACCTAACATGAAAACCCGTCTCTGCTAATTAACCCAGTGAGTGCCGTCTTTTAGAGAAGCAAAGGGCTTGTCCAACAATGAGAAGGTTGTAAAAAATTAAAATCCCAAAATAAAGGGCAAAGGAGATGGGGGATACAGACAGAGGTGGTTCCAGAGCAGCATTAACCATAGGACGACTTAAGGCGGCCACCAAAGGTTCAGCGGTTATACAGGGGTCTAGAACCATGAATTTGCTTGGCTCCATTAATCATCCCTATGTGAAGAATGAAGGAACGGGGAGAGGGAGGGAGGCAGGGACAAACCGGTAAACTGTCCAGGGCCCTGTGGGATCTTAATCCTGCTTTGGGTGATCCTGGAAAATAAGTCAGTCTGAAATGAAGAACTGTTTGGTGTTTGCTGGAAAAGAGGACATGAGCTGCTACTTGCTCAGGAGGCTACGTAGATACACCCAGGGAACAAGCACTCCTAAATTCATTCCAGGTGCTGAGAAGGGATGAACTGCACAATGGGACAGAGTCTTCATCTGGATCTGGTACCAACACTCCCATTCCCTGTACATACACATTACCCACACTGGTTACATGCATTCACACACAGCAGGCCATATTCACACACAACATGTATGCAACAACCAGTCAGATTATTGGCACTGAACAGTTTTTGTGGATTCTAAACATTTTCTATAGCAACTATTTTAACACAGCAATGGAATGAAGGGAAGTTGACTAGGGGAATGCATGGGGGATATGCTTAGAATAATTAATTTGGGCATGTTCCAAGACATATTATGACCGGGGTAATGAATAGGGAGCTGTATGGCTTGGGAGAAGTTCAATGAGTTAATATAGCTGGTGGACAATAAATTGAATATTTTATCTTGGGGGAACATAGCTAAGGGCCATGAAATTGAAGAAAAGCATTGGGGATGTAGGGAAAAATTTAATTCTGTGGGTGGAGCTATCTGAATTTGGGAGGGTGGAGGCACCTTGTTCATACATCAGGCAGCACAATGACATGGGCAATCCCTGGATGCAAGGTGTGCTGACATGATGGAAGGAAGTTGATATGGACAGTACAGTGGATTCTGAAGTGGAGTCATTTTTATTGAAAGGATGTTCAAACATTATGAAGATGAAGGGATGAAGTCTGAAATAATATGAGGAAAGGTAGTGCTATGATAGAGATGTAGCATAAACGAAACTGGAAGATTCAGGGGGGTGGCTGAAGAATTGTCGACTATTGTCAGCCCCATCAATATTAGAGATAGCCTTGGATAAAGTCCTAATTTAATCCATAGACAAATATTAGCACTGTATTCACAGAAAAACTGCATACACAATAAAATAAAAACTATTACAATGAATGCAAAATAATAAAAAAAAAATCTAATGACCAAAAAATAAATATTAGAGCGGTTAAAATTTAACTACAAATATGAAGAAATTGTTGCAGAATAAGTAGGAGAGAAGAAGAAGATTATTAGTATTATTAATTGTTGCTGCTAAGCTTTGAGATAGTGTCCCTTCTAAAATCAGTTAAGTGGTGAGTGTACTTTTTACCTGTGACATGTAATATAAATAAATTGCACCACCATAGTGCAATGTATGTGGTTACAGTGAGGGCAAATGTGTGCGTGTTCTCCTCCTACATCTGCTGAGGGTGAGGGATGGAGGACGTGTTACGTTGAGAGACATTATAGGTCCTAGCTAAGTGCATAAAATGTATTTGATTTAAAAGCTATGCAAATTAATTAATATTTTGTTTTGAGATAATATCCTTTTTTTTGTATCCTAGTGCTAGGAAACCTTGCCGTCTCATATGTGGAGACCATACAAAGTGGCTCCGTGATTTGCATGGAGAATGCAGTACTTGCCATGGCAGAAATTGAGAATGCAGCAGCTTTGAAGAATGCCATAGCCAAATATTTGGCTGAAATGGGCCAACATGCAAAAAGGTTTCCAACAGAGACACATGAAGCATTCCTGCGTTTACATCAAATGTCTGAGAAGAACGCAATTCAAGTATTCCTTCAATGTTCATTTAAAGATGAAAACCAAAAACACCAACACCAACTTAGGGTCCGTAACTGAAGAACAAGATTTTATATAAAGTTAAGAAGTCATGTTCGGATTTCACAACAACAAGCACAATTGGTTCACATTCAGTTTGGTTTACAACCACCAGCTGACGATCTCAGCCAGTGAGCTAAGCTTCACTGCCCATAACTCCATCCTCTGCAATGATTTTGTTAAAACTTTGTACAGTCCCATAGCAAAGTGTTAGAGCAAGGGTTAGCAAGCTTTGGCACTCCAGATCTTGAAGACTATATCTCTATTGAGGCTTTGTCAGCATTATGGTTGTAAGAGCATTATGGGAGATGTAGTCCACAAAATCTGGAGTCCCAAAGGTTATCTGCCACCCCACCCCCTATTTTTTAAAATTCGTTATTTTTGTGTGGAGCAAGACAAACATTATGATGATATAGAATGCAATAAACATCCACTTTTTAAATGAGGGAAAGCAATCAACAGTGCAGCACAAGGGTACCAAGTTAATATAAAAAAATAAAAGAGTGAAAAAATAGCTAGTATTTCTATGAGATTTCAAGAGCACAACATATGTAGGTTTTAGTGAGAACCTACATCACATTTTTGTTTAGGTAGTGCAAAGATATGTGAAACTTGGGGATTTATGGCAGCTGTAAAAACCTAAAACAAATAAAAAAAAATAAGTGTGTTTTAATGTTTTTGATTATTTTTGTTTAGATTTTTAAATGGATTATCTATACAGTGCATTAAAAGAAACGCATCTATACCAACATGGAGTGAAAATAAATAAATAAAAAATCACTCAAAATTGTTACTACGTAATGCAATCACTGTGTTAATGAGGTTTTAACAAGTCACATTTTACTTATTTACCAACAGGATACACTCCAAATCAAAATGGAGTACTATTTCAAAGAGAATGTGAAAAAATCCGAAACTGTGTGCAGGATAACCCTCGAGAACCTGTGTAAATTCATGGAGGTCAAGCTATCAAGGGGTCAATACATGAGACCCGGGGGACATCAACAATTTGTGGCAGACAAAGAATGGATACAAGAAGAATTCAGTAAGAAATCAGGGAAAGAGATGAAGGTACATCTGTTAAACCACATGTTGGCTGCTAAAATAACTCTTTTAGAAATCTATGCATAGAGGAATTATTGAAATTCAACACAGTTTGCTAGGCCTAGCTATGAGGGAGTATTTAAAACAAAAATATCCATATACAATAATTTCAGACCTATATGGATAGGTTAGGGATAGCATTAGGGCTTTGGGGCTTTATTTTATAGCAGCGGAAGAATGAAAATCAGGGACTAGTTACCTTTCAGCAGGTCTAAATGCAGGCTTTCTGAATAATCTTGTAACGTTTCATTATGATGAATCACACTTCCCATACTTGGTAATCATAAACCATAACAATGTAAACCATGGCTGGTGTTTGGAATGTTAAAATACATTTAAAATTCAGAGCTAATCTATAGATGTGGTTTGCTTTTTCAAATTCTCTTCATTATCTAAGCTTGGCTTGGCTTCATTTATATTTTCTCCAGTACACCCCAAAACATTCTTGGATAAAATTATTTGTTTTAATGGTATTTCAAAATTTTTGTTCCTTAAATGAAAGGCCACTGAGGTTCTGCAGGATTTCCTCAATCAGAAAAAAGATGTTGAAGTGGCAATCTTGCAGGTTGACTACACTCTCAAAGAGAATGAAAAGAAGATTGCAGGTGAGAGAACAGATGTTTTGGGGAGATATCAACAACCCAGAAGCACTGAATGTCGGTGAAGTATCTGGATCAGAGTTACAGCATTGTTGTATTCTACGCATTCTGTAGATACTGAAGATACTGTAAAACATTGCATGCATGGGAAAATAGATAGATGGTATTGGGTATGATTGAAGCACTCAGTGTAGGGGAAAGATGAAAGCAGAATGCTGTAGAGTGCTGTAGATGTTCAGTGTAGGGATTGATGGAAATCGAATAAAAGCACTAAGGATAAGAAAGAGGAAGGTTAGAAAAGTGATAACTTTCCCTTATAACAGAGATTTAGGGACAGTAATGGGCTCCCAATAGGTGCGCTGACCATTTGATTCATCGGTTTTGTGGCTTTGCACTTCAGCAGCATTATGTCATGCTTTGTAAAGTAGTTGTTCTAGAGGAAAATAATCAGGCTCAGAGGTGCACTGGTGTGATACAGAAAAACAGAATCGTAAAAATGATTTTCAATAATTATTTAAGTTATTATTTTTTTGTTTTAATTTTCACAACTTCAAACATCAGAGCAGCAAGCAGAGAAAGAGGCAGCAGAGAGGGCTATGGAAAACTTCCAAAAGGAACGTGAAGAGATGAGAAAATTGATGAAAGAACAGCAAAGAAATTATGAACAGCATGAGAAGATGTTAATTGAGAAACTGAGACACGAAAACCAGAAGGCAATCCAAGAGAATGAACGGATATTAAAACAAATGTTTCAGGTAGAAACATATTTTCAATAATAGTGTAATATGACAACTAACAAAACGAAAATAGGGAATGACGTAACACAAATCATATTAAAGATACCAAATAAATGTGGGCAGCTACACACCTAGGAGAGCGACTTGAAAGAAGATTAATATTCAAAAAGTATTAGTGTGTGCGCTCCTATTGATAAAGTGTGAACCAATAATATATAATAGTAATATTTAATATATATACACACAGACAACAGTAATTGATAAACTATAACTCTTAATAATAAAAACCCCCACTATATAAGTATATAATAGAAATATAAAAACCTGCAAGGGGAGTAAGCATTTAGGCAATAATAAAAAACACTATACAGGTACCATGAATGAACATAAAATAAATTCTGATTGCAATGCTGTAAATAAACAACCGCAGTCACAGAAATAGAGAGCCAAAAAATGTATCACAATGTAGAATAAAATTATTGATAGTTTAGCATAACACTGTTACAAGCAAACAGCTCAAAAATGTAGGCTGTAGCACTACCCTCCCAAAAAGGAAGGAAGGGTTTTATCACCTAAGTGGTGAACCAACACTGGGTCTATAAAACCCCCAAAAAAGGAAAACAGTGTCTTAAACTTTAAAATATTTAAATTAAATTAAACTAAGGATTGAATAATTTGCATGGGGCTCTAAATGTGTTATGTGCTTGAGACTTACAACATACCCTACAATGGATACATCCAAACACGCATCAATGTAAACTAGATATGTATTTAGATGTATTCAGAGAAGGCTTGTAGCGGAGACCTGGTATTTCACAGGTTATCTCCACTAAAGATACCAGTGAGGCTCAGGAACAAGTAGTAAAAATACCATAGAGTGATAATCCCAGCAAACAAGGTAATCCACGAATATCCCCATACAGATCCCAATGACTGGACGACACACAGCATCAGGAGCAGAACTGACCTTTAATCCACACAACCTCCTTATAAAGCATTCTACCATGCAAGGGAGGGATTCATCATAATTAGGACAGTAACCAATAATGTCACAGTTACCTCCCACACATCTCCTCGCCTCAGTGTGACACATAATCCCATTATACATGCTGCAGTTTTCCCCGAGTTCTGGATGTACCCCAAAACAGTTAGGTACAATGGGCTAAGTGGCACCCCCTAGTAGCCCTGATCCGGATGACCAACATATCCAAAATTCACCCAGATCAGACCAGGGGTTCTGGAGTTATGTGGAAGGGACAATTTGACCGACCACACGAGGTGGTAGCCGAAAAGGGTTCCATGTGTTTTGGCCCTGCGGTTGGTCTCCGTTCAGGAGGTAAAATACACATAAAAACCTGACATCCACGATTAACATTGCATTCGCATGAATTCCCTTGTTCGGTACTTTTAACTCACCGAACGGGGGGCTGATTAGCCTTCCCGTTCGGGAGTTACAGAGCCCTGGAGGTCTCAGCCTGGACCGCCACTGTTCGTGGGTTTTGCCCTTCTTTGTTATGTGTGTTACTTGTATATTCGTGTGCTGTGCCTGTTTCCCATTCGGGAGTGCTTCCACAAAGGGAATTCATTCGCCTCCCGAATGGGACCACCCCAATGAATCACTTATGGGACCTGGGAAGAAGACCCCCCCTGTCACCAGAAGTGGGAACATTTGGGTGGTGGGAACAGGTTACTCTGTACTTTTAACTCCCAGAACGGGGGGCTGATTAGCCTTCCCGCTCGGGAGTTACGGAGCCCTGGAGGTCTCAGCAGTGTTCAGGTAATTGAGTGTCCGATTTGAGTTCCAGATGCCGAATGGCGGCCACCCAGATACATGCACAAAGTACCAATTAACCTGCGGTTAGAGAAGTGTGAAGCCTAATAAGGTGCACACTTCTCTCTGGGGTGGTCTACTGGTTCGGTAGTTTTCATTCGTATTCCATATGGATGAAAACTACCGAACAATCATACGAATACTACATCAATTTTTAACTATACAGCAGAATAAACACACAAATTGCAGTTTAACACAGTCTTTTAGGACAGCCTTAATACCATCCGCTACACTGCTCCCCCTTGCCCACAAGCCGGCATACACAGTCTGATCCAACACTGATCGGCTTGGGGATGTCCGGGGATGCTCACGGATCATTTCTCCAGGTCTGTTTGTCTCGACAACCCGTCAGCATTCCCATTCTGTTTCCCCGGGCGGTACTGAATGTTAAAGTCAAAGGGCTGCAGCGCTAAACTCCAGTGCAGCAGCCTGGCATTGTCCCCAGCCACCCGGTTCAGCCATACTAACGGGTTGTGATCCGTGAGCAATGAAAAGGGCTGTCCATACAAATACGGCTGCAATTTCTTCAGGGCCCACACCACAGCCAGGCATTCCTTCTCGATAGCGGCGTAGCTCACTTCTCTGGGTAGTAACTTGTGACTGATGTAAGCCACGGGATGTTCTCCGCCTTCGGCCCCGACTTGGCTCAGTACTGCCCCCAATCCAAACATAGAAGCGTCTGAACCTCCGGTAGTGTGTTGTGGTCTTGGGTGCGGGCCTGTTGTCAGGTGACCATGGGATGAGCTTCCCCTGTGGTTGGGGTCTGGGGCTCAAAAGCAGACGTGAGCCTTCCCAGATCATTCCCAAGCAAAACTTCCATGGGCAATTGCGGCATCAACCCCACTTCCACGTTTCCTGACCCCCAATGTAGATGAACCCTTGCTGTAGGTAGCCGGTATACTGCTCCCCCGGCTACGCTGACGGCTACAGTCTTGCTTGTCTTGGCTTTATCCGAGACTAGGTGACTCTTGACCAGGGTTATAGTGGCTCCTGAGTCGCGGAGTCCTTGGACAGCTTTACCCTCCAAATATACGGTTTGTCTGTGATGCTGGCGGTTGTCGGTATTGGCATGTACGGGATCTGCTTCGTGTAGCACTTCCCACTGTTCCATGGTGGTGATTGGAACTGCTGACCCAGAGGGTGTTGTGCTCTCATCCTGGTATTAGTGAGTGGCTGCTCTCGTTGGTGGTGGTGGTCCCGGTCGGATCCAGGTGGATCAGTCTCTAAGTTGTGGGCATTCTCGCTTGTAATGTCCCCACTTCTGGCAGTGGTGACATTGCACAGAGCCGGGCTGCCGGAATCTCGGTGGGGCAGCAGTTGGTGGGGGTGGTAGTTGTCGGGGTGGTGCTACTGTGTTGTTGGGGTAGCTTGCCCCCCCTAAGGGCCTTACAGCGGTCTTGATAACTACAGGTTTTTGTTGCCTACGAGCATCCATGTAGTCATATGCTTTTCTAGCTGCCTCCGTGAGGGATGTAGGGTTGTCGTCCATTTACCCATTCCTGGACATCTGCTGGTACTCCCTCAAAAAATTGTTCCAACAGCACCATTTGTAATATGTCCTCCATGGACCGTGCTTTGTTAGCCTGTACCCATCCAAGAGCCGCCCGCAGTAGTCTACAAGCCCATTCTGCATGGGAGTCTTTTTCTGCCTTCTTTAGTTCCCTGAACAGCCTTCGGTATGCCTCTGGTGTGATGGCATACCGAGCCAATATAATTTCTTTTACCCGACGGTAGTCACAAATGTTGCCATCAGGTACAGTACGGTAAGTTTCTGCTGCTCTCCCGGTTAATCGCCCAGCTAAAATGGGGACCCAATCTTCTGAGTTGATGTTATGCAAGGCACACAGTCTTTCAAAATCTTGCAGGAAAGCATCTATATCTTCCTATGCCTCCACATACATTTTAAATGCCTGGTACGGTATTTTTGGCTTACCCTCTGGCATCCTGTTTACTGTTGAGCTGCGTTCTGGGGTTGCCGTTACCCTTTGCCTCAGCATGAACTCCTGGACTTCTGTCATTGTCTTGGAGATGATCTCTGCCGGTGGGTTCTCTCCATTAAAAGACAGCCTAAATTGCAGCTGCCTCTGGAACTCCATTTGTTCCTGTCTTTCTGCCGAATCACTATGTTCGGAAACTGAACTGCCATCTGTTCAGTATTCCGCCATTAGTTCGGTAATGAGTACAGCTTTCGTTTTATTGCTGGCTTGATTGCCCCTTGCTTCCAGGAGGTCTTTAATCGTGGAGCATTTTAGTGTAGAATAGTCAATCTCCATCCGTACTCCATTGCTACTTGTTCCTCTGTGAGTCTGGATCCCACTGCTGCCACCAATGTAGCGGAGTCCTGGTATTTCACAGGTTAACTCCACTAAAGATCCCAGTGAGGCTCAGGAACATGTAGTAAAAATACCATACAGTAATAATCCCAGCAAACAAGGTAATCCACGAATATCCCCATACAGATCCCAATGACTGGAACACACACAGCATCAGGAGCAGAACTGACCTTTAATCCGCACAACCTCCTTATAAAGCATTCATCATAACTAGGACAGTAACCAATAATGTCACAGTTACCTCCCACACATCTCCTCCCCTCAGTGTGACACATAATCCCATTATACATGCTGCAGTTTCCCCCGAATTCTGGATGTACCCCAAAACAGTTAGGTACAATGGGCTAAGTGGCACCCCCTGGTAGCCCTGATCTGGGTGACCAACATATCCAAAATTCACCCAGATCAGACCAGGGGTTCGGGAGTTATGTGGAAGGGACAATTTGACCGACCGCACACGAGGTGGTAGCCAAAAAGGGTTCCATGTGTTTTGGCCCTGCGGTCGGTCTCCATTCAGGAGGTAAAATACACATAAAAACCTGACATCCACGATTAACATTGCATTCGCATAAATTCCCTTGTTCGGTACTTTTAACTCACCGAACGGGGGGCTGATTAACCTTCCCGTTCGGGAGTTACAGAGCCCTGGAGGTCTCAGCCTGGACCGCCACTGTTCGTGGGTTTTGCCCTTCTTTGTTATGTGTGTTACTTGTATATTCGTGTGCTGTGCCTGTTTCCCATTCGGGAGTGCTTCCACAAAGGGAATTCATTCGCCTCCCGAATGGGACCACCCCAATGAATCACTTATGGGACCTGGGAAGAAGAACCCCCCTGTCACCAGAAGTGGGAACATTTGGGTGGTGGGAACAGGTTACAAAGGGGATTCTGGGAAGGCGACTTTCTGTTACCAGAAGTGGGAAGCCTGTGGTTGGGTGGCGGGAACAGGGGACAAAGAGACTGGAGTTCTGTTTCCGCAATACGACCCCTGGGAGGGGGAGGACCATGGGAGGGGACACTGTCATTGTGTGGTGTACACCCCATTCCAGGGGGTTTTGCATAAAAGCCGAGTGTGGCAAATAAAGTGTTGTTGTACCTCCAGAACTGTGTCTCGTCCAGTTACTGCAGGAAAATGGGTCTCTGTATATTCTAAATGGTTCCTGATTGGCTGAAGAAAGGGAGGTAATCGGTCAGGTTACCAGGTGGTCCGCTACACATGACATGTAAGAATTACTCAATTGGTAAGCATTTCAAACACATTGAGATAGGGTGCTTCTTTATAGATATGGAGAGAAAAACATGTAGCAAGAGAGATGAGAACAGACAACAGCTCAATTAGCCTGCCCTTCGGTAGGTCCCTGCTCAGATCTCAAGCTGGTTTTAGCACTGTCCGTTCAGCTCGCATCTACCCCATGGATAGAAGAATCCATGTCTTTTTTGCCCCCCTATCATCCATGTCTCTGTTCCTCTCCCTTTCATGTCTTTTCTCCCCCTACTTCCATGTCCTGAATGTCATTTGTATTATATGCAGTGTGTGTATCGAATACATTGTGTGTGTGTGTGTGTGTGTGTGCGTAGTGGATGTGCATGTAGTAGTGTCTGTGTAGTGCATATAGTGTTGAATAAGTGCTGGGTAGTGAGCCATTTAAATTAATTTGAGCTTAAAGGGACACTATAATCACCAGAAGAACTACAGCTTATTGAATTTTTTTCTTCTGAGTAGAATCATTACCTTAAGGCTTTTTGCTGTAAACACTGTCTTTTCAGAGAAAATGCAGTGTTTACATTACAGCCTAGTGATGACTTCACTGGCCACTCCTTAGATGGCTGTTAGAAATCCTTCCAGTGGCGTACATACCAGGGTCGCAGGGGTCGCGGCTGCGACCAGGCCCAGCCCACCAGGGGGCCGGGCCGCCCCTGCGACCCGGTATGCACCCACAGGGTGCGCGAGGGAGCTGAAGAGGAAGCACAGAGGGGAGAGTGCTCCCTCGCGCGCCGGCCACCCAGACAGCCAGCGCGCCCGTCCAGCAGCACCACTGGACCCCAGGGATTAAATGTTTGTGTGTTAGTGTGTGTGTGTGTGTTAGTGTGTGTGTCAGTGAGTGTGTCTGTTATTGGGTGTGTGTCTGCTAGTGGGTGTGTTACTGTGTGTGTCTGTTACTGAGTGTGTTTGATGTCTGTTAGTAAGTGTGTGTTTGTCAGTGAAAGTGTATGTTTTGTAAGTGAGTATGTATGTCTGTCGTTGAGTGTGTCTCTGTCAGTAAATGTATGTGTCTGTTAGCTAGTGTGTATGCGTCTGTTCGTGAAAGTGTGTGTGTCTTCAGCATTTACCTTTCTCCAGCGTCGGACTCCCTTGGCGCTGGGGATCCCTCCGCCTCTCAGCTCCGAATGCACATGCACGGCAAGAGGCGCGCGCGCATTTAAACCACCCATAGGAAAGCATTACTCAATGCTTTCCTATGGACGTTCAGTGTCTTCTCACTGTGATTTTCACAGTGAGAATCGCAGAAGCTCCTCTAGCAGCTGTCAATGAGACAGCCACCAGAGGCTGGATTAACCCTCAGTGAAACATAGCCATTTCTCTGAAACTGCTATGTTTTCAGCTGCAGGGTTAAAACTAGAGGGACCTGGCACCCAGACCACTTCATTGAGCTGATGTGATCTGGGTGTCTGTAGTGGTCCTTTAAGTGTGTGTGCATACTGCGGTCGCGGGGTCGCAGCCCTGCAACCCCTGCGACCAGGTGCCCGCCGCTATGTGTTGCGCGGGGGGGGGGAGGGCACGGATCAATTTTCACACCGGGGCCCCATGGGTCATGTGTACGCCACTGGATCCTTCCTGGGTCATGGCTGCCTAAAATACATCCAAACGTTCAGTATCTCCACCCTCTGCATGCAGACACTGAACTTTCCTCAAAGAGATGCATTGATTCAATTCATCTCTATGTGGAGATGCTGATTGGCCAGGGCTGTGTTTGAATTGAGCTGGCTCTGCCCCGATCTGCCTCTTTGTCAGTCTCAGCCAATGCTATGGGGAAGCATTGTGATTGGATCAGGCTACCACTTCTGCTGATGTCAGCACGCAGTGGGCAGATCAAAAGGGAACAGGGACAAAGCCTGCAGCTTCAGGCTTAAATACAAGTAAGATTTTCCTATTTAGAGAGGCATGAGGGGAACGGGGGGGAGGCTAGATGGTGGTTTTAACCATATAGGGTCAGGAATACATGTTTGTGTTTCTGACCCTATAGTGCTCATTTAACTACCCTCCCTGCCTTGTACCTATGGGCTGGAAAGGGAGGGACAGTGTGTACAAAGGTGACAGTATAGGGGGGCAGTGTGTAGGAAGGTGACAGTATGGGGTGCCGTATGTAGGAAGGTGACAGTGTGGGGGGGGAACTCTGTTGGATGTTGACAGTGTGGGGGGCAGTGTGTGGGGATAACAGTGTGGATGGACAGATTAACAGACATCATGCTCTCACTGATACACACTTACTGACAGTCATTGTTTCACACACTGTTTAACTAATACACACGTTCACTGACAGACACACACTGACATGAACACACTCTCAGAGACACATGCACTCAGTGAAATACACACATTCACTGACAGACACAAATACACTCAATGACAGACATACACACACCCACACACACACACACACTCACTCACTCACTCACACATTCACTGGCAGACACACACACATTCTCTCACACACACACTCACAAATTACTAATATTATTTTAGTTTGTCCACCCAGCCTCCCTACCTTTGGGAGAGCTGGAGTGGATCTGTACCTGGGGTCCAGTGAGGCTGCTGTGAGCACATCAGAGGCGGCGAGGGAGCTGTAATCCTCCTACTCTGCTCCCTCGCAAGATGGATACTGATGCAGGGAGCCAGAATATGACATCATATTCTGGCTTCCAGCATCAGTAGATGGCCTTGGGGGTCCATAAACTGCTTCCTCCAAAAGAGGAGGAAGCACTGGGTATGTCCATGTGGGCACTTTGGGATAGATAGAGCCAGGGCCGGCCTTGGCCTTTAGGCACCCTGTGCAAAACAAATCACACACACAGGTTTACAGTCACACACAGGCAGAGTGTGATGCGCACACAGTTAAGTGACACAGAGACACACAGTCACACACACACAGACATACAGTCACACACAGAGGCACACACACATACAGCCACACACACACAGTTACAGTCACACATAGGCACAGAGGCAGACAGTCTCTCCCTTACACACACACACACACACAGACAGAGGCAGACAGTCATACACACACACTTACAGTAACACACATAGGCACACAGTCACACACATTTACAGTCACACATAGACACATACACACACACACAGAGGCAGACAGTCATACACACACACACACAGGCACACAGTCACACACATAGTTACAGTCACACACACACACATTTACAATCACACATAGGCACAGAGGCAGACAGTCACACACACACACACATTTACAGTCACACATAGACACACACACACACACAGAGGCAGACAGTCATACACACACACACGGTTACAGTCACACATATGTACACAACCACACAGTTACACACACACACACACACACACACACATTTATAGTCACACAAAGGCACAGAGGCAGACAGTCTCACACAAACACAGAGGCAGACAGTCACACACACACACACACACACAGTCACACACACATAGGCACACAGTCACACACACATTTACAGTCACAAATAGACACACACACACACACACACACACACAGAGGCAGACAGTCATACACACACACAGGCTTACAGTCACACATAGGCAGAGTGTGATGCGCGCACAGTTACAGTGACACAGAGGCACACAGTCACACACACAGAGACATACAGTCACACACACACACAGAGGCACACACACATACAGTCACACAGCCACACACACACAGTTACAGTCACACATAGGCACACAGCCACACAGACAGAGCCAGACAGTCACACACTCAAAGTTACACACACACACACACACACACACACACACAGGCAGACACATATGCACACAACCACACAGAAAGAGGCAGACAATCACAAATACATAGTTACAGTCTCAAACACACACACACACACACACAAACATTTACAGTCACACAGAGGCAGACAGTCACACACACAGAGGCAGACAGTCTCTCTCACACACACAGACACAGACACAGACACACACACACATTTACAGTCACACACACACATGCAGACAGTCATACACGCACACACACTTACAGTCACACACAGGCAGACAGTCAAACACTTAGGTCAGACAGCCACACACACACACACAGAGGCAGACAGCCACACACAGAGACAGACACAGTCACACACAGTTACAGTCACACACACACACACACACACTGGAGTGGAGGAAGTGCAGCTCCTGGAGTCTGAATATTGGGGAAGGAGTTACCCCACCATAATTTGGCCCTGCCACGTGGTAAGTCATGCCCTGGCCACAATGTGTTTTTCTTTTCTTATTTATTAATCTCGGGTAGAGGATTAATTATTTTCCACCAGGGATTATTAAAAAAACAAACACATTTCCCTTGCCTGCATTTTGAGGGGCACGGCATGATTTAGGGGCGGGCCATGGTCCCCTCTGGCCCCCTGCTAGTGATGCCACTGAACAGGGCTCATTAGAAGGGTTCAGAGATCATTAGTGAACATATTGTAGGCAAAAAGCAGCTTGCAATGTCCTATATCTATTACAGCCTTAGACCGCAGGGAAGTCAACCTCCTGCATCCAAAAGGTAGGAAAGAGTGGCTAAAAGATGTACATTTTGCATGTGTGTATCTGTATATCTATCTGTGTGTCTGTATGTTTGTATGTGTATCTGTGTATCTATGTGTCTGTATGTGTGTCTGCGTATCTATCTGTGTGTCTATACGTGTATCTGAGTGTCTGTATGTATATCTATCTGTGTGTCTGTATATTTGTATGTGTATCTGTGTATCTATCTGAGTGTCTGTATGTGTATCTATCTGTGTGTCAGTATGTGTATCTGTACATCTGTGTATCTGTAGCGGACTGCCTGGCAACCGGACCGGGTGCCTCCGCCAATCAATGCTTTTAGTGCTCGAGTACTCCAAACACTCCACCAGACACCGTCAGCACTGTAGTCCCCACTTCCAGTGTTACAGCTTGGTTGGTCTCTCGCCGTCCTCCACCAGCCCTGGACCCAAGACCAGGATTCAGCTTCCAGTGGGTAGAACTTTCATACTCCAGAGAGTGTAGCAGGGTGCTCTTACAAGAGCAAGTGATTATAACCCATGGGAACCCACCCCACTGAGTAGAGGAGTACCCTCCACTTAATAACTCAGAGACATGAAATAAATACAGACATGGAAATACACACTGTATTGTGGTTAAAGAGATACACATATAACAGCAGAAATAACAATGCAGTTCCTGGCTAATGTTAAACACAGTCACAAGAACATCAAGAACAGTTAAACTCCTGCAGGTAAATTATGTGCACAACATTGGGGCCCTTAGGTGTAGGTAGCGCAACCCAGATACAGTTATAAGGGAGAATCCTGAAGCAATCTCTGGAGACAGTACCTTTGAGTGACTTCTGTAACTGCAGATATTTCCAGAGAGATCCAGCGGAAGGTAGGACAGCAGCCGGACAGCAATGGCAATCCTTTCTCTTCCTTCTGCTGACAGGATGCAAGAGCTCATTCACACTCCTGCAGAAAGTTCCAGAATCTGCAGGGAGCTGATCATTAAATAACAGTCTTCTAAGTCTCCTAGCAGAGCGGTACACAGTCTATAACTTCTTGTAGTTGCAGTGCATTAGCCTTCCCCTGTTATTATTTCACTGTCCCAGCAGTAACAGACCATTGAAACAGGTAGGAGCACACTTTGTTTAAGCAGACTCCGAGAACATGGCTTCTCCCCTGTCCTCTTCTTTCTGCCATCCTAACCCTTCCTCCTCACATGACAGGACAATGTTCAATATCTCAAAACTCAAAGTAAAAATAGCAAAATATAGCAGTCTGTTACATCAATATAAAACAAGAGACCATATAGTGTAATACATTCATAAAACTCAAAATAAAAATAGATTCAAGGTTAAACTCACAAATCCAAATATGGAAAAGGGCTCATCAAATAATAATGGTATCCTCTGCTCTGTGCTGTTGAACTGTATCTTCATACATACATATAAAGAAAATAAAAAACAGCCATAGTGCCACACTGTAATTAAAATAATTATGTTTCCTTTTAACAGACTTGCTCAGGGAAATCCAGAGAAATGCAGCATACAATAGTTAATCACAACACAAACCCTTACAAAGACCATAAAGTTAATCATGTGTCCTGTTTCCTCCAATCCTGGGCTCTGATGCCCAGCTGTCAGATTTAAAATTTGCGCCCTAATTCTGTCCTGAATTCAGATTTCCATGTGGAACGCACCTGCATTCCACATACGTAACTTCCTATGTCTGATTCCCATTGGCTATGGTACGTCCCTCTTCCGAATGTATTTTGTCTCATGGAATGCTCCTGCGTTCCACCAATAGCCCGTGGTGTAAGTTCCTCTTCCGGATGTGTTTCGCATATGCGTTCCACCGACATCACTTTCTGGTTCAAGGAACGCTCCTGCATTCCAGAAGACAGGGAATTCAGAAAAGTCTTGGTTATCCCTGGGATCTTTAGTTTCATGTCTCTGGCTAGAGACTATAGTTACATGTAAGACACTATAGTTATTTTGACATAATTCCAATGGTTTAATGTGCTAATTTCTGTAACATTTACTGACTTTTAATAGCTACACTACACTGTTTTGTTCCCATTGTACTTTGCTACCTAGTAAGCTTTCATCATTCAGTCTTACGAGCTCCCAACTATCGCTGTTACAGTCCATAATGAATGTGGCGGCGAGGCTCATCTTCCTGTCCGCCCGCACCTCCCATGCCTCAGCCTTCTGTCAGTCCCTACATTGGCTTCCTATAAAATATAGAGCTCAAATTAAATTCTGTTTTTTGCTTTCAAATCGCTACATAATGCTGCTCCCACCTATCTATCCTCCCTTATACACAAGTATGTCCCGTCTAGGCCCTTGCGATCTGCTGAAGATTTACGTCTATCTTCTGTCCGTACTCCCACCTCTGATGCTCGCCTTCAAGACTTCTCAAGGGCTGCACCGTTCCTGTGGAACTCACTTCCCTCCTCCGTTAGATGCTCACCCAGTCTCCACTCATTCTAAAAATCATTAGTCTAATACTATCCTTACCTTTTGTGTCACTTTACCCCACTCCCTCTAGCATGTAAGCCCATTGAACAGGGCCCTCAACCCCTCTGTTCCTGTGTGTCCAGCTTGTCTGCTTACAACTACATGTCTGTTCGTCCACCCACTGTAAAGCGCTGCGGAATTTGTTGGCGCTATATAAATATTAACATAATAATAATAATTCATGTAGGAGGAGGCTTAGCCAATCTTAGTAAATATGGTGCTAGCCAAATTACTAGCAAATGTATGGATGATAAGATTTTTTTTGACCAAGTTGGGCTTTACTGCTAGGTAGGGTAAACACTTACTCGTTAGGGTAGAGGGAGCTGGCAGGATACAGCATATTATTTCAATTCTTTATTTTTCTCTTTTAGGAGCGTCAAAAAGCAATTGCAGCAGGATTCTATGAAAACATTGAGGTTCTGCAGAAACAGATTCAGACTTTGCAAGCAGAAAATCAAAGAAGGAAAAAAAAACATTGCTCAATCTCTTAAAACGTTTCTTTTCATATTTAATCCTGAACATATCTATTTTTGTTCATGTAAATTTGTGTTTAGTGCTTGGATAACTTAACAAGAGCGTTCTGAGTCAAAGGAAGTGAATCATTGTGTAAAACATCTACCTGTCTTCTTCAAACATTTTGTAAGAACTTGTGTCTGACCTTAAGCTCATAGAAACACTGTTTTGAAATGTGAGATATTAAATTAAGCCTTTTGTTGCTCCGATGTGAGAAGATTATAGCATGCATAAACACAACATCAATCTCCATGTGTCTGTGTGTTAATGAAATTATATTAGATGACATTATGACTATGTTACTTGTAGCTCCTTACGTGGTTAACTCCATGTTTGGCTGATGTAGAATAATAATAATCTCTTGAAAGCTTGTTCCAAAATTCTGTTAGTCCAAATTAAAAATATATGGCACTACACTATGATTAGTTATTTTTTATTTCACTGGATTAATACATCTACTATTTCAACTTTAGTACATGGTTGATGATATATAGCAATTATTAATATTAACTTAACCAAAACAGTTTCTAGAATAGACAAGGGACAATAAACCACTTCCTGCATTGACCCAACTTATTAAAAGAGATATTTTAAAATAAAAACACATATAAGCTAACCTATTTAGATATTGCTATTTAATAAATAAAAAAAAATTCCTTTATAAAACAGGTGAAATTTCCTTTAATGCTTTCAGGATAATACTCTCATAATATTGTAAAGTGATACGTAATCTGTTGGCGCTGTATAAATGGCCATAATAATAATAATAATAATAAAAATAATAATGAAAGATCAAAATTTAAATAATCACAAAAAGATTAAAATAACAAGTGTTTGGTGATTATAAAATAAGAAACATAGGCCTCGACTTAATTCGCTCTCTAAATGATTTAATAATATTAGAAAATCTTTCTAAACACTTTACTGTATCTATTGAAGACACCATTAAAGTTTTGAAGATATATAATTTGGTAAGTTTTTGTTAAGGTATTGAATCATTTGATAAGCTTGTTAAATCAAAGCCATAATGCAAAAGTCTTCACAACTCAAATTGCATTTTATGCTCAGAACTCATGTGTTTTTAAAATGTTTGCATATTTACAGAAGACAAAAGATAAAATAATTTTGAACATATGCAGCAATATAATAACAACTTATATTGTTATATGAAACAGGGGCATTGCTAGGGTCAAAAACCACCTGGGGCCTGGAACCCAAAAATAATTTGGTGATACCTTGTTTAAACCCCACACTTTGCCGCTCTACAAAATCCACCTCCCCGATTACTATTTAATTTACCTCTTGGCACACTCACAGTTACTTACAGACACACACACTAAAGGAAAATGTGTGGTATATCAATAAATATTACAAAAACTGGGGGGAGGGCAGCTCAGAGACAGTGTTTTATTATGAAAATATAAAGTTCACTTAGAAATGATAGTTTTCAAGCTACACAGTTTTGTAAAAACCCAGTAGAAACAGGTCTTCATTTATCAAAAATAAAAGAAATTTCGTCGTGTAGCTCAGTTATTCCTTTGAATTTATTTTGTATCTTCTCATTGAAATGTTAATGTTTTAAAACGATGTGGAAAAAGATCAAAATTCTAATGAACTCTTTCAGTTCTGCTGTGGAGAGCAGAGAAATTAACATAATTAAATGGACCCCAGTATTACAGACAGGAGAATCTTAGTACTACTTGCAGGCTCCTTGCTATGAGTGTGCCCTTCACAAGAAGCCTACATTATCAAGTTAGTATAACAACCTTATTTGTGAGATTTGATTGCAAATGCAAAAAACAATGATTTGAATACAGGGTGTGCAGTTATTCTATGATTTATTATTTCTAAGGATGCAGAGTTGTAAATAGGTAAACCTCACACATTTATGCCAATATTAATAAAAATGTTCTACAAGCAGGACAGGATCCTTGCACCATAACCACTACAGTAAGCCAAAGTAATTATGGCACTTTGAGTTTCTATTGAGGTGTATAAAAGCAAAGGAGAAAACATTTTAGCTAATATATAATTCAAACATTCCCAAAAGAATTGTATTCACAACAAGTTCAAGCATAGTGGCACACCAGTGCAATTTCTGGTATTTCATATAGAGAAGGCCAAACATTTGGATATATTGATTTATGAATTTAAATCTGTACATCGTTGAATTTTGATCACCTTCCTCTTCTTTGACAGCATTGCAGGGGTTACACGTGCAAGTGATTAAATCCTCTCTTTGTTTGCTTAAACACTTCCTTGTAGTGAAGTAAACCCTGCAAAAGAAAAGAGAACATAATTGTAACTGGTCACACAAGGAGGAAATGATAGGCAGAAGCCTAAAGAAAAAAATTACAGCAACGTCTAACTGAGAACAAAGTACTGTGTTACTAAGAAATCTGAGTTTGTTATTCAAAACCCTTAAATGAGTAAACACATAATTACCATTGAAAATCGGAGAGTGTAAAACAGACAATGTAGCTTGCATAGAATACCAGAGGCCAGTGTCCAGTTGTAGTTGATTGGCAGTCCTGGAGTGCAACACAATACAACTCAAGATAGGTATGGCTGTGTGCGTAAAGTTTATTTTGATTGGAACGTAAGTAATGATTGGCAGCTGAGTGTTAAAATAGTTAAATTCTATCAACAGTTTATAACCGGAACCCAGCAAATCCATTCTCTTCTGGTGGCATTACAATTCTAGGTTGGACGTCTAAAGATGCATTATACAATCGTACAGCTTTTTTACCTCTTGGTCAGTGGATGAACATTACACCATACTACTTTTTTGGCCCTTACATGCAAGAAGGGGCGTTGCTAGGTTCCAGAAACACCTGGTGCTTGAGCACAAAGGAAAGCTAGATGGCCCAAACACTGACAGAGAGGTACCTATCCTGGCTTCTCTGTTATGTCCTATCCTCTCTAGCCCTGATAAGTGTTCTACTGATGTTTCCCATTATCTATATAAAAACAGAGTCAAAAACAAGCACATGCTGCACAGCCAAATATTCTGAGTGATCTCACCGCACTACCTAACTAATAGTGGGGTGTGCAGCAAAGTGCTGTTCCCTAACACCACCTCCGACTGTCATTTGTCATCTGGGCGGCAGCTCCTCCATTCCATATGGAGCCTGGTGCAGCATTATACAACTGATCTTTGCTTTTTATAAGAAGCAAATTTAATAAATCTAATTTCTCTCAGCCCCCTCCTCTAACTGTAAAAATCTTCAGCTAAAGATCCCTACATTCTGGGATTCAGCCCTCAAAGCTACGACCAAGCAACGCATATGCATTTTTGACATATGAAACCCATCACAGTATTACCAATTGCCTGTTAGATTATATGCATGGACAACTAGAGTATCATAACTTCCTGATGAACAGGGTGGTAAATGGGTATTTGAGAGAAGCACATCAAATATAATTTAATATTTCTGTCCTATCCACACCTGTGCCAATATCTTCCAGAATTATCTCACCACCACAACCACTAGGCTCACTAATCCCACCAGCTACTTTTTCGCCACCCCTGTCATTGACAACTTTGGTGACCAGTAGCAGCAACATTACAGCCAACACCTACTTCGGCCTCCTTTTACTTCATAACAGTGATGTTACTGAGACCATTGTGTCATTCTAGCAGATATAGCAGGTGACCTAAGACACAGTTCCAAAAGTAACTAGCATGCTCAGCTTTATATTTTACTCGGGACTCGCCCATGTGCTCATTACATATAAAGTACTGTAACAACTCAATAAAACTACAAACAATCAAATCATTTTAAACAACATGCAGGAACTTATAATAACATAATGACTCATTTCTAACGGAGTGGGGAAGACAATAATTAACACAAAACATCTCTTCTGCCGGTAGAATTACCAATATGCAAATCTACATGAATATGCAAATTAGCAAGACTTGCTTATATTGTGGCACAGCCCAACTTTGTTGTTTTTTTGCATTTCTCTGATTACCTCCAAGGGCTTTGAGGGAGCCAGTTTAGGGTTGCTGCTTTTACTCTTTCTATTTGGATTTACTAGCAATGACTTTTAGTGTTTTCTATTCACGTAATGTATATAACTGTTGCTACCAACAGAGTATACTATAAAGTCTACATAGCCAAATCCACCTAGTTGGCAGCAAGAACCAGCAGAACAGGAGAGTACACAAAACAATTAAAAATGCACAAATACATATACACACCCTGCACCTATCATGGGCACAGGGTGACTTAGACATAGGAGTAGTTCAGGGTCCTACCTAAAGTGTTTGCCGGAAACTCCTGGTAATGGTGACTATCATCACAGAGGGAAAAAGAGAATGAACAGTAAAAATCTATATTTATATATGATATATTTTTTAAGAAATATATTATGTAAATATATAGATATTCTTTACTGCTCATTCTTTTCTTCTTCTTTTGGTCTCAAAATGAATTGTGAATAAAATCAATCTTTAGTGGCTGTCCCCTAAAAATCAAGTAAAACGGAACTGTCATTCTCATTATGACTGTTTGGGAATTTCACTAAAATTCCAACACAGTCAAGAGATATACAATGACAAAGTACGGACTACGCTATCTCTGTATTTCTCCTCTGCCTGACACTTGCTGACACACAGCAGAGCCTATGTGTCAAGACCTGCAGCTGTCACTGGGAATTGGCTGTGCCTATGGAGGATCCCATGTCCTAGCGAGATCCTCCATAGACCTCAATGCTGTACTCTTGGACAACCCGGTGGTACTTGCCGGGTGAAATGCACGTCAGGTGCACAGATATACTTTATCCTTTCATAGCATGGAAACTTAGGACAGAAATGTGTTATAGAATACTACTTGTTCAGTAGGAAGACTGGTATGTAGAGCCTGGGGGGAAGGGGGCCCTGGGCTTACAATTGTTGAAGGTGGTGCTTTTCAGTGACTAAGCTAAGGAACAGCCTAGCCACCCCCAGATGGAATATTATCACCAATGATTGGGATTTTGGAAAGAGTGAACGAGATACAATTGACATAATTTTTATTGAAGAAACTAGATTAGGTATGGGAAGGTGGTCAGTATATGTATATTGGGCACCACATTTTTTGTTTTAGTTGGTTTATAAGAGACTCCTGGTAATGGTTTGGGAACAGCTTAACCTACCTTCATAAATCCAATTGCCTGCTATTAAACCTTAGTACTCACCTTACCTACCTCTAGAAATCCAATTGACTGCTTTTAACCTTAGTATTTACCAGTAGATAGTGGCAATTGTTTAGGGATGAAGATTGGGAATAATTTAACCATCCAGCGTGGAGTATTCACACCAAGGAAAAATTGAGTTTGTTAGGTTCTTTTCACTATCCTCAGACCTGCAAATTGTAAAGGTGTTGACCCTCAGTGGTGATTGAAGGATTGGCTATAGATATACCCCTCGTTATCATTATTATCATTATTATTTCTTTTCCTGGGTTAACATCAGACACATGGGCAACGCATTATAAGAAATAATCATATGTGTATCACAGTTTAGTTTCTAGTTGCATTTTGGCAGGTTGTATTCAACCAAGTAGTTATCAAAAACCGATATTGTTGTCATTTTTGTGCAGTGATAATGTCCTGCATATTTCATTTAGCAACAAGCTAGATCAAAATCCTAACACCTGTTGCCTTGTGTTTTAATAAAATTGTTACATCTAATTATTGTACTAGAGTAACAACAAAGGAGGCATTAAAGAGGAATTGATTGAACTGTAACCCTTGCTTTTTTTTATCTTTATTGATCTTTTTTTTTGTATTATCAGATTAAAAGTTATGTTTTAAATACACCATAGTCAATTGTTTATGGATCTGAACAGGCTTAAACCCCTCGGTTGTGTGGTTGACCACTGGACCATTACTGGTCAGGAAAACAAGAAGTGTGTGTCGTTAGTGATTTGGATGCTCTGTGAATTAATAGTGGGCCCTTATAACTAAGCTGTGCTTGTTTGTTTGCTATATTGTATTGAGTTAATCTGTCTGAGGTTTGAGCTACATCAGCCCATACACACAAGCTGCATTGGATGAGACTTATTGCAATATTTTGGTATTTGGTTGCACCATACTCTTTCATCCTATTTTGTAATTGGTCTTATTTTAATATTTTTGGAAAAGCTTTTCAAATGATTTAATAATTTTGGATAAACTTTTAAAACATATTTTGTAAATATGAAAAAATATTGAAAAATATATCGGATATAAAAAACATATATCAATATAAAAAAAATCATAAAATATTGAAATATTTGTCAAAGTATTAAATCATTAAAAATGTTTATCCAAAAATATTAAATCATTGGAAAAACGTATTCAAAAATATTAAATGAAGGTCACTCTGTCCAATGATACAGTGCTCTATCTGTGAATCATAAGAGTTTTGACACAGCTCTTATCTTGAACTACAATTCCCGTTAAAACATTGTTGAAAAATTAAACCTCTGTGACTGGACCTGAAAATAAGAAATATTTCTAGTAATTATTCTATATTTTTTTGGAAGTTAGTCAAAGGCTCTATACAACGAGATATATGGTAATTGTATCTTTTAAAGTAAATTATCATATGATATTGAATGTTAACCTAATTTCTTTCTTTTCACTCATTACAATAGACACAGTGCTACCACCTAGTTGCCACTTAAAAAAAATACACTTAAAAAAAGGCAAGGTCTAGTAGAACTTCACTGAAATCAGAATGTTCTGTAGAGATCCACAACTTTGTACATCGCTCACATAAAGAATTCATTAGCAACATAGATGTATGCCTGTAAGCCTGTCAATGGAATGTTGACTGTAGGTAGATGGCCCAGCTTAATTGCAGAATAGGTATGAACTGTGTAGTTTTTTGTTGAACTGAGCAAAGGTTGAAAAAAAACCCACCTTCTTAAGTTAATCAAAAACTATGCGAACAAGAAGGTAATTTCTGATTCATAAATTAATTTGTTTATATCTGATATGACAACGTCCTTCAATTCCCCAGTCATGTGTATAGTATGTGATTAATGAAACAGGAATGCACATATTGTTAAAAAATATATGGATTACATTTCCTTATATGTTCAAAGTACTGTTGAGCAGTACATTAAAGGGTTTTTCCAACCAAAACCCATCCTATCCTAAAAATGATTAACCCTGGGGCGTAGTCAGCTGTGAACCTAACTAAGTGGCAGAGGCACTGGAAGTGAGGAGAGATGGCAGTGAATTACCCATAATTTAAGTTTTAAGGATCTGGAAAGCCCCAGCCACACCCGCGGATGCTCCCAGGAACATTATAGCAGTTACCCTGGAAAATATGCATACACTCACCTTCAATACAGCACAGTGTGGCTAAATTCTCCCCTGAGCAGGGGAGGACATGGGCTGCATGGAGGTGGGGTGCCATACCGCCACTGGATGTAGGGCCTTAACATTCTGTGCGTGCTGATGACAGTTTAAAATAAATAAAAGCACATTTATGGCTTTTACATGACATATACTTTGTATATGTTGTCACTTAACCACTACAGGGAGCCTTCATTACTGTAGTGTGCAATGAACGTATAGAGCAGGCATAGGCAACCTTTGGCACCCCAGATGTTTTGTACAACACCTCCCATGATGCTTTGCCAGCATTATGGGTATAAGAGTATTACGGGAGATTTAGTCCACAACATCTGCAGTGCCGAAGGTTGCCTGTCCCTGGTATAGAGAGTAAGTACATCTCATATACTGTCATTTACTGCACAGGTTGATAGCATTTTACTTGTGTTAGAATTTGTAGGTGGAATCTGGAATTTCATTTTCTACTTTCACTTTTGTATGTATAAAGAATGACCTTCTGTTACAGTCACAGCGGAGAGACACACACGCACAGAGAGGAGGAAGGAAGGCTGTTAAAGGTACGCACACAGAGATACAAGCACTCAGACAACAAACACAAATGTGGATAAAGCAGTAGTTTTAGGACTCTCTGTGAAGGTTAATGTCTTACACATTTAAAACGTCAGTAAACCTAGCCACAATGTAGCTAAATCATAAATATAAAATGTATTCATTTTGTGCATGTTGGTAGTTGAGCTCAATCAATCAATGACTTTAAATGGACACTCTAAGAACCATAATCACTGGAGCAGGAGTGTCAGACTCCAAACCACAAAGGTCAAATAATTGATGACATGAGTGTAGTAGTGCTTGTGTATTGTATATATAATGTATGTATCACATCTTTTTAAGTTTCACAATACTCCCCTAAAATGTAATTTCTCTGTTTCTGTTTTGTTTTTCTGTTTAATACACTATCTCTGTTTCCCTGTAATTTTCAATGTAATCTGTCTCTTGATGCAATGCTAGCTGTCTCTCTCCTCTATGTTGGCTGTCTCTCTCCGCTATGTTGGCTGTCTCTCTCTGCTATGTTGGCTGTTTCTCTGCTATGTTGTCTGTCTCTCTCTGCAATGCTAGCTGTCTCTCTCTGCTATGTTGGCTGTTTCTCTATGCAATGCTACCTGTCGCTCTATGCAAGTTCTATCTGTCTCTCTCCGCTATGTTGGATGTCTCTCTCTGCTATGTTGGCTGTCTCTGTCTGCAATGTTGGCTGTCTCTCTATGCAATGCTACCTGTCTCTCTCCGCTATGTTGGCTGCCTCTCTCCGCAATAGTAACTGTCTCCCTTCCAAGTTTCTTTCCGCAAATCTTATTACAGATACACCCCAAGTATTAGTGTCCCGAGAAGGAGGGGGTAGATTGGGTGGGCCAGTGAAACAATCGCATCACTGGCTCCACCCACGTGGGGACGGTTCCACCCAAATTACTGGTAGGTAAACCTGACATGAATGCATGCTAGCTGCCTACCAAGCAAGCATGGCAGCCCACTGAGGGCAGGACGTGCAGGGAGCATTGTTTCAGTGCTCTTCACAGGGCCCTAGTGACCTAAGTGTAGGTTGTACAGGTAAAGAGAATTTGCATGGGTTAAGTGTAGTTAAAGGGACACTTTAAGCTCCAAAACAACTTTAGCGTAATGAGGCAGTTTTGTTGTATAGATCATGCCCCTGCAGTCTCCCTGATTAATGTTCTGCCCTTTAGGAGTTAAATCACTTTTGTTTCTGTTTATGCAGCCCTAGCCACACCTACCCTGGCTGTGATTCACATAGCCTGCATGAAAAAAATGGTCTCTTTTTCAATCAGATGTTAATTTGCTTTAGAAGATTGTATCTCCTGCTCTGTATACTGGACTTTAAATAGACACTACAGTCACCAGTATATCTACAGTTTAATGTGTATGTTATATCCCTGCATGCTTTTTAATGTAAACACTGCCTTTTCAGAGAAACGGCAGTGTTTACCTTGCTACCTAAGAACATCTCTAGTGGCAGTCAATCAGACGACTGCATGGAGACACTGAACGCTTCCCATAGAGATGCATTCATTTAATGCATCTCTATGAGGAGATGCTGATTGGTATGTTGTCGCACATACACAATAGCCTCCCAGTACTTTCCTATGGGAAAGCATTGGATTGGCTGAGATTTACAGATTTGATTATCTCAGCCAACAAGGCGGAGCAGGGCAGGGCAAAGCATGACAAGACCAGTGGGGTGTGGGAAAAGGATGAGTAAAACACATATTTAATGGAGGAAAGGGAAGGTATGGCACCTAAACAGTCGTTTTAGAGCTATAGTGTCAGGAATTCACATATGTATTGCTGACACTATATAGTGTTCTTTTAATTACACACAGGAATCTCCTGCAGGGTCTAGGAGGCTATGAACATAGGAGATAAGAAATTCAAGATTGAACAGACTGTGCAAAAAAAGGGGACATACAAAAAAATCTAGGTTCCTTTTCAGGAAGTGTTTAGAAAGTCTGTGTAGGTCATATGTGGGGAGGTATAAACAAAGTGATTTAACTCCTAAATGGCAGAAAATTAAGCAGTGAGACTGCAGGGGCGTGATCTATATATTAAAACTGCTTCATTAAGCTAAAGTTGTTTTGGTGCTTATAGTGTTGCTTTAACTATTTTAGCTGACATCCTCGGCCAATGACATTGTTTGCCAATACTCAAAGTTGTACAAAATGAATATTACTAAAGTGTAGATATATTATAGAAGACTGAATAGTCCAGGTATGCAGGTGAGTGTCAAACCGAAAACTATTTGACTACTTACCAGTGGACGGAGCCTGAGGTCTCCAATCACTTCAGCATGCTGCAGTGTTTATGGTACTAATAATAGTTTTTTCCTGTCTAGGAAAAAGAGTAGCACATGGTTGTTAGCATTTATGGATTTATTATCCATCAATCTGCAGCTATATTTTGTGAACTGTGATTTTATTGTTAATAGAGGTTGGGAGGGAGTCATAGAAACACTGTTTGATACTTTGAACATTCCAGTAATGTTGTAGGTAATGACTGTTTACAAGTTTGTCGCTTGCAAGCTTTTTATTATGTAAGCCATACCTCAGGATAGGCAGTCATGCAATTAATTTGCAAACAAATGTACTGTAGAAGAATAGGGTTACCTAGTTACTTCCATGTCACATCTTTCACGTAACTACTGAGTTTGTGATTTTGCAAGAAAACTATTTTTGTGTACAGAAATTAATAGTTATGTTTTTCATTACCTTTTTAACAAGTTGGGAAGTTGGTGGTGACTGGAAAAAAAAAAGTATTATCAGCTTTGAAAGTAGACCTTTTGAGTTATATTAGTAATAATTATTAAGCAGATTCTTATCCAAATATATTTAATACTCTCCCAGAATAAGAATGACTTTAGAGATCTTGAAACACAGTCCTGTCTGTTTGATAGAGAACAAAGGTGGAAGAGAGCTAACAATCAACCAGGATGCCTTGCAAATTCTTACTGACATCACTCAGCCTTTGGTTATTGTGGCAATCATAGGAAAATATCGAACTGGAAAATCCTATCTATTGAATATTCTAGCAGGATGCAAAAAAGGTGAGTGATATCTTTATAAAAACCCTTACTAAGAACATTTTAAGCATTTATAATATTAACATTTTTTAATTAACCAGAAAAAAAATGCAAAACCAACATCCAAAATAAAAAATAACGTAATTAGTTTTTAAGTGTATATCTTATTCCATTTCTGAAGTAAATTAGGAACTGCACTCAATGCCATCACTCTGAGCCAGGGTGCAACCAAAGAAAGACCAAAGGTCAAAACGTTGCTGCTTGTCATTTGGTTCGAATACATTTGCCTTTGTTGGACCTTGGAGTGCCTAAACCTTTCTTTGTTTCCTGCATATGTTATTCATATCTTTATTGACGTTTGTTCCCGTAAATATATGTAAAAAGAAATCAGATAATTCCCATTAGTGTGGTCAATTGAGCTAATTTTATTATAGGCACAATTTATCTGAGTTTTCCAGTAGGACTAAAAATCCTACGTCTTGTGGTGGACCAAGAAAGCACTAGACCCTGGCTTTTTTTATCACTCTTTTTTTCATCTCTAAAATACACTAGGGGACAAATCTTCAATAACTGGTACATTTTCATTTCAACTTTCCTCTGTAGGATTCCCCCTTGGCTCCACCATCCAGGCTAAGACTAAAGGCATCTGGATGTGGTGCGTCCCTCACCCAACCAAACCAGGACACACTTTGGTTCTACTGGATACAGAGGGGCTGGGGGATGTGGAGAAGGTAACTACTGGACTAAAGATCATTGGATTGATTTAGTCATTGCACATTTTTGCTTAAGTGGCAAAATAAAACACAAAAAACAACATTAATTTGAAATTGCAGAGTATGCAGTTACCATTCTAGGAAGTGGGCAAGACACACATTTATTAAGTAAACACTGAATTCTAATCAACAAGAAATCAAACTGCAAAATTAAAGGAACACTATAGGGTCAGGAACACAAACATGTATTCCTGACCCTATAGTGTTTAACACACCATTTAGGTTGCTTTCCCCCCTTAGCCCCCTTGGAAAAGGTGAAAACTCACCTTATTTCCAGCGCCTCGCTGGTCTGCTGACACTGGCTCTGCCCCGATCTGCCTCCTTGGTGACATCATATTAATTGCCAATTTGTAGCCAGTCCAATGCTTTCCCATAGGGAGAGCATTGGATTGGCTAAAATCGGCAAGGAGATGGGGTGGGGGCGGGGCCAAACACTGTTTTAGCCAATCAGCACCTCATCATAGAGATGCCATGAATCAGTGCATCTCCTCTATGAGGAAAATTCAGCGTCCCCATGCAGACACTGAACAGCACTGCTGCCTTCTGTGCAGCACTGAGCCAGGAAGCCCCTCCAGTGGCCACCTGAGGAGTGGCCGCTTGGAGGTGTACCTAGGGGGCAATGTAAACACAATGTAAAGGCAGTGTTTGCATTAAAATGCCTGAAGGTAATGATTTTACTCACCAAAACAACTGCATTAGGCTGTAGTTGTTCTGGTGACTATAGTGTCCCTTTAAGACAAAAAGTGTTTATTTGGGCCAATTTTCCAACACAGTTTTTCATTGTTTTCTAGCAAGTTGTCTGTTAATTTTCTTTATGGCAGTTTAATTGCTTTGAAACTAATTTTGGGTAAGAGAAAGTTTTCTGTCCCAGTCCCGATGGTCATGTTTGTTATTTAGAAGACTAAGGAATATGTTGAATTGGTAGTAACAGTATAAATTAAGACAGAATCTTATATTTAGAGTTTCTTATTTTATTTTAATATTCTCTCTATTTTATTTAAGGAAGACAGTAAAAATGATGCTTGGATCTTCTGTCTGGCTGTTCTGTTGAGCAGTAACCTTGTGTTTAATAGTGTGGGGACGATAGATCAACAAGCAATGGAACAGCTACAGTATCCTTTATATTAACACTGTTTGTATCTAGGAGGTGCAGAGTATAATGGGTTACAGAATGTGAATGACAATAAAGAGTTCAAACGCTAACATTAAATGATAACTTACATTTGTAGATAATAGAAATATGGCTACAGCAATTTTGATGAATACACATGACAGCCACTATTGGTAAAGGCTAGGACAGTACAATACTAGAATGAATTAAGAATTGTTTAATTTATTGAGAACTATAACAATTTTCATGAATCCATTGTCATTTGTAAACATGATATCTACTTGACAAAAGAGATAACCTGTCTGTTCATGTTCTTCATGAATGGTTAATTCAAATATGTATCTAGTATATCGTTTATGAGATTATTCATCAAAAAGTCATATGGGACTTCAGTAACCTATTTGGATATATTTTGGTTTATTTGGTATGATTTATGGTCCCTGAGGAAATCGGGTGGAAAATAAGACTCCTGGGCCCCCTCTTCATTGGACAAGCCAGCAGAGGCCCAAAACTGCATATATAAATATACATATATATGCAGATTTGTTAATGAAGTCTACAGGTGTGGCAAAATGCCACCCCTGTAAAAGTGACGCCTGAGGCCAAGGTTGCCTGGTTTCCCTGCTCAGCCATATTATTCCTGGAGATGTGGGATAAAATACCATTGACAGTGTTGAATTTCCCTGGCTTTAAAATGTCTGACAACCTTCTTATCCTGTGAATATACAAGGATGTACACACACATACAATGAATATGATAGGCTCAACACTTATGTGAGGGATCCTCTTAACCCCCACAATGAAATAAAATCACATACCACTATAGTAAAGGTGGAGCTCTAATGTACCTGAGTAACATACAGTTGCAAGAAAAAGTATGTGAACCCTTTGGAATGATATGGATTTCTGCACAAATTGGTCATAAAATGTGATCTGATCATCATCAAAGTCACAACAATAGACAATCACAGTCTGCTTAAACTAATAACACACAAAGAATGAAATGTTGCCATTTTTTTATTGAACACACCATGTAAACATTCACAGAGCAGGTGGAAAAAGTATGTGAACCCTTTGATTTAATAACTGGTTGAACCTCTTTTGGCAGCAATAACTTCAACCAAACGTTTCCTGTAGTTGCAGATCAGAAGTGCACAACGGTCAGGAGTAATTCTTGACCATTCCTCTTTACTGAACTGTTTTAGTTCAGCAATATTCTTGGGATGTCTGGTGTGAATCGCTTTCTTCAGGTCATGCCACAGCATCTCAATCGGTTTGAGGTCAGGACTCTGACTGGGCCACTTCAGAAGGCGTATTTTCTTCTGTTTAAGCCGTTCTGTTGTTGATTTACTTCTATGCTTTGGGTCATTGTCCTGTTGCAACACCCATCTTCTGTTGAGCTTCAGTTGGTAGACAGATGGCCTTATGTTCTCCTGCAAAATGTCTTGATAAACTTGGTGTGACGAGAGCAACCTCGCCACATTGCATTGGAGAAGCCTGGTAGCTTCGCCTGCTGCCTTTGGATTATGGCCCTATGTTAAAAGACCTTGTTTCCCCTGCAGAAAAGACTTATTTGTGCTTTTCTGCCCGATGTTCGGGATTCAATCTACCAAACAACCGCACGAATGACTAGACCACTGCTTGACCCTCAACACGGAGCCTTGTCTCGTCCTTGGGGGGATTTACTGTATGCTGATAGAGACTGATTGCTAGGAGTGTAAGCCGCTTGGGTGCTTTTCCTATTCGTCTGCTAGCAGCTATTCGTATGGTTCCAGTTCGGGAGTTTGGAGTGCTATATTGTATGCAGTTCGGGAGATTGGAGCATTCCCTTACATGCGGTTCGGGAGTTTGGTGTTCTACAGTAGCTGTGCCTGCATCTCGGAAAGGGGACAATCGCCTAAACGGTTTTAACCCCTTGTGTGCTGAAACGGTCCGTTACACTTGGGAATTCATTTTTCCTTCGATGATAGCAATCCGTCCAGGCCCTGACACAGCAAAGCAGCCCCAAACCATGATGCCCCCACCACCATAGTTGGGATAAGAGTTTTGATGTTGGTGTGCTGTGCCTTTTTTCGCCATACATACTGTTGTGTGTTTCTTCCAAACAACTCAACTTTGGTTTCATCTGTCCACAGAATATTTTGCCAGTACTGCTGTGGAACATCCAGGTACAAACTGTAGACCTTTTTAAGTCTTTAGCTGACACTCTAGGATTCTTCTTCACCTCATTGAGCAGTCTGCGCTGCGGTCTTGCAGTCATCTTTACAGGACAGCCACTCCTAGGGAGCGTAGCAGCAGTGCTGAACTTTCTCTATTTATAGACAATTTGTCTTACCGTGGACTGATGAACAGCAAGGCTTTTGGAGATACTTTTATAACCCTTTCCAGCTTTATGCAAGTCAACAATTCTTAATCGTAGGTCTTCTGAGAGCTCTTTTGTGCGAGGCATCATTCACATCAGGCAATGCTTCTTGTGAAAAGCAAACCCAGAACTAGTGTGTGTTTTTTATAGGGCAGGGCAGCTGTAACCAACACCTCCAATCTCATCTCATTGATTGGACTCCAGTTGGCTGACATCTCACTCCAATTAGCTCTTGGAGATGTCATTAGTCTAGGGATTCACATACTTTTTCCACCTGCACTGTGAATGTTTACATGGTGTGTTCAATAAAAACATGGCAACATTTCATTCTTTGTGTGTTATTAGTTTAAGCAGACTGTGATTGTCTATTGTTGTGACTTAGATGATGATCAGATCACATTTTATGACCATTTTGTGCAGAAATCCATATCATTCCAAAGGGTTCACATACTTTTTCTTGCAACTGTAAATTGAAGATGAATGCACTTTTTGCAATCTTTTAAAGAAACCTGTAACTAATATATGACACATTAATCATGCAAATGGTATATGTAATAATAGATGGGTATATATATATAACAATTTCTAATTCACAAGTAGAGAGCAAGTAAGTCACATGGCTCTAGTGTGTAGCACTCTTGGATCGTTAAGGGAGATCCACAGCCCTCTTTTGTCTCCTTCACACCCAAATGGGTCAGCAGGGATAAACAGGAGGACTCCAATGGTGAAAGTAAACGAATACATTTATTACTAAAAAACAAATAGAATAAAAACTGATCCAATGATCAAAAATACTTATAAAATGATAAGGTCTTTAGTCCAAAACATGTTTCACCATCAGCTGGCTTCCTCAGTTGGTGTATACTTTGTGGAATGCTTGTTCAGTCTTTTATTTTGTCTTGATTGTAAAATTGTCGGCATCTGTGTACCCCAAAGTGTTCTGAATGGAACACACGTTTATCTCTTTTTTGCTCTGTGTAATAAGGATAATCCCCCAGTCATTAGAATTGAGGAAACATAAAAATTTTGTAAGGCTTAGTTCATCTCCATTCCAAATAAAAAATATGTCATCAATGAAACGGCAATAGGTAACCAATCTTGCATATGAAGTGTTATGAAGGATAACTCTTTCTTCCCAGTATGCAATAAACAAGTTAGCGTAACTGGGTACGAACTTGGTTTCCACTATCCTTAAACCAAAAAAAAATATTGGTAAGAATTAAAAGTACATCTTCAATTAAAAAAATCACTTTGTCCCTTCTCCTTAACCTGTTTAAGTTATGTGACAGAGCTAACAAACAGGATTAAACTGAAATTATCTCAAAAAGAGGATCAGAGTGCAGAATTTAAAAGGTTTTTTCCATCCTTTATTTGGTGCATTCGGGACTTCTGTCTTGTGCTGGAGCACAACGACATGGAAATAACTGCTGACGAATATCTGATGAACTCGCTGAAGTGCAAAGAAGGTAATCTTAAGGTCCCCAGAATCATGACTAGGTGCTCAATGTACCATGGTTTATATCAATCATTATCGTTTTTTATAATCGGCTAAAAAACGGTTCTGTCACCTTCTGGGGGCTTTGCACACCTGCAGCTCTCTAAACTCTACCCCTACATCAACTGAATACTTTGTTACATGTTGAGTATAGGATAATATAACATAAGATAATCAGAGCTATAGATGTGTGAATTATCATGAATCCAAAATGAATTAATTTCAAATTTTAAACTATCATCACTTAGGAAAAGTAAATAAAGCTATTATTCTATTATTATTATTCTATTATAAAGCTCTATATTCAGGGCTGGTGCAAGGATTTTTAACTACACAGGCAAAGTAGCATTTTCCATGTACCCCACCCCCTTAAAAAAACACTGGAACCACCTTATTCCTCATGTAAAGGGGCTGTAGATGGGGGCACAGGGGCTCTAGAAGAGGATCAGGGGCTGTGGTGGGTGATAGGGTACATACAATGGGGTTACAAGGTCTGTGGGGGACACACAGGGGCTGTAGAGGGGAGGTACAGGGCTGTAGAGGAAGGACACACAGGGCTCTAGAGGGGAGCTGTAGGGGGTTTAGACAGGGCCGTAGAAGGGAGAATTGGGGCAGTAGAGGGTTGACACAGGGCTGTAGAAGGGGGGACAGAGGGCCGTAGAAGGGAGAATTGGGGCTGAAGAGTGTGGACATGGGGGCTGTAGAGGGGGACATGGGGGCTGTAGAGGGGGGCACAGGGCTGAAGAGGTGGGGGACACAGGAACTGTGGTGGGGAACACAGGGGCTGTGGTGGGGGCAGAGGGGCCATAGAAGGGGTGGGAAGGGGTTGTAGAAGGGAGGGCACAGGGGTTGTAAAGGGGGGTAGGAGCTGTAAAGAGGGCAGGGCTGTAGAAGGGGCACAAGGGGCAAAGAGGGGGCACAGGGGCTGAGAGTGGGCACATGGGGTGAGAGGGGGCACAGGGGCAGAGGTTGTAGAAAGGGGAACATGGACTGTTGAGTGGAAACATAGGCTTTAGAGAGGGGTGCATGGACTGTAGAGAGGGGGGGGCACAGAGGCTGTGGTGGGTGGCACAGGTGCTATAGAACTTGTAGGTGGGCAGGTGCACAGGGGCAATAGAAGGGGTGGGCAGGGGCTGTAGAAGGGAGGGCACAGAGGCTGTAGAAGGGAGAACACAAGGGCAATAGAAGGGGTAGGCAGATGCTGTAAAAAGGACACAGGGGCTATAGAAGGGGTGGGTAGGGGCTGTAAATGGGGGCACAGTGGCTATAGAAAGGGGAACAGGGGCTGTAGAGAGTGCACAGGGGCTGTTAGAGGGGGCACAGAGGCTATAGAAAGGGGAACACGGGCTGTTAACAAAAACCTATTAACAGAAATATATTTCCATTCCAGGTAACAAGAATCAAATTCAAAGTTATAACCTTCCTCGGAAGTGTATCATCCAATACTTTCACTCACATAAATGCTTCGTGTTTGATCGTCCAACTTCGGGGAAAAAAATTTATCGGCTTGACGAATTGGAGGATAGTGAACTGGATAAAGATTTTTTGAGCCATATCGAAACGTTCCGTAACTACATATTTAGTGAAGGCAGGGTTAAAACCCTTCCTGGAGGACAATTGGTCAATGGAAATTGTGAGTGATAGTGGAATGTTATTTATACCACTTTTTATTCACAAACATAACTTAGCTTAGAATAGTTAGCATTAGTTATTTTTTTTCCAAATTCTAGTGAATTGAATGAATAAACAAATCAGTGTTAACAAGCACCATTTAAAAAAAATGAAAATGTTCAACTCTCCAAAAATACACACCTAAAGGCAAATTTAAACATCCAAAAAGGTGGAGCTCAAATAAAAAAAAAAACATTTAACTGTAATTCAAAATGTGGTGTATCCTTAGTTGTGTACCATGTAACAGAGAAAAAGCAAAAACATGCAGAAAGGGCAGATTGAATAAACGATATTCCACAAACAGAACTCACATATAACAGAGCCAATGCACACACTTGGCTCTGGTGGAAAGGGTATTGGGACCTATGATATAAATGGCAAGTTACCTTCACTGTTTGCAGTCATAATTCAGCCAACAATGTAAAAAATACAAAAATATATTGAGTCCTTAGTGAGACATTTTCTCAGTGCGCACAAATTCAGCCAAACCATAAATGCTCAGTACATCAGAGAAACATTCTATAGGTCTCTCCATTCTTAGATGATGAACCATGAGTTTCATAATGTGAATTCATTTTTAGAAAAAGTTATGCCACTCGGTAATTTCTACTTCTTTTTCTCCATATTTCTCAGGTTTGGCAAATCTCGTAACTTTATATGTAAAGGAAATTCAGAAAGGATCTGTGCTGTGCGTAGAGAATGCGGTGATTACTTTGGCAAAGATTGAGAATGCAAAAGCCATGAAATATGCGATAACCAATTATGAAACCAAAATGAGAGAACATGTAAAAACATTCCCGACGGAGACTCAGAAAGAATTCATTATTTTGCACGAGGAGTGTGAAAATAGAGCAATAGAATTGTTTCTGCAGTTTTCCTTTAATGATGTAAATGAAAAACATCTGCAGGAGCTTAAGGTCAGTTACAAGAAATAATCTGGGAAATTAAATTGTTTTGTATTCATTAGTCATCATTTTTCCATATTTAGGAATCTCTAGAACAATACTGCAGATATGAAACTTTCCTATTGCATTGACACTGGGTTAGGGTCATTTAAAATAATAAATTAAAAGCTTAATTTAATTAGCAGTAGGTTCTAGATACAATGTAAAAAAAGACTTAAAATTTTGTATTTCACAGTGTGGACACATGGTAACATACATACACACTCACATAGATGCACGTATACACACTAACATACATAGTCACTTGCATGCATAAACATAGCAGTGGATTTGAATTAAAAAGTGTGGGATATTTATCAAAGTGTTTGGAAAAGTGTCTTTTATTCTTGGGCTCTAATTTGTTCTTATTTATGAAATCGTTCTGGAACTGGTCTAAAATGTTTTGACTTTTCTCACCTTAATTACACCACTGTACGCTTCGCTCTTCCAAAAGAGACGTGAGACAATTTTCTGATAGAAAAAGTGATTAAAAGATTGATAAATCCATTGTGTCGCCAAAATAATTATGGTTAAAGTGGAAAAAAGCAACAGATGAAAAAAAATTAAAGTTAAAGGGACACAATAGTCACCAGAACCACTAAAAGTTTAATATAATGATTCTACAGCCTGTTCCTGGAGGCTGAGTATTGTAAGTGGTGCCTATTCACAGAAAATACAGTTTTTACAATGCTGCCTAAGTCCTCCTCTAGTGGCTGTCACTCGGACAACCACTAGAGAGTCTTCAAGGACGCTGTCCTGAAATCTTTGAGGAACTACATTCAGCACCTCCATTTTTTTTTTTAGCATCTACCTTAGTAGAAAGCATTGGCTGAGATAATCAAGTGTGATGATCTCATCCAGGGAGGCATGCAACAGGGTGGAGATAGACACAGTAAGAGCTGAAAGCTCACAAAAACTATTTAATTTTATATTGCACATGTGGTGGTGCAAAAAGCCAATAAATTACACATAGGGTTCCTTTAATAAATTACAGTGAAAAAATGCTGCCACCTGCCATAACAAATATACAAAACTGTGTTTGACACTTTGATAAATCTCCTTATTACGATAAGAACTGGCATGGTGTCTGTGCTTTTCTCTATTTTATTTTCTGTGTATTACAACCATTTTGACATTGCTAAATCAAGTTCGAAGGCTGACGTATTGCTAATGACTTGCTAATTATCTACATTTTGATTCTTAAAGGTTCTACTAGGCAAACAACAACAGAGGTTTTCTCAATGCAACGAGGAAGCGTCAGAGGATCGATGTAACAAACTGCTTGATAAACTGAGAAGGGAAACACAGTCTAAGAGGGATAACTCAATTAAATATAACCAGTTTCAGGAGGAGAAGAAGAAAATAGTGGAGGAATATAATAAACAGCCAGGCAAAGGAGTAAAGGTAGCAAGTAATGTTATAATTAAACACAAAATTAAAATTGCAATAAAAAAAGTTAATTATTGGTTTGTATAAAACAAGTTAAATAGTGTCCAAACTGATCTTGAAGGATAGTAGTATCCCCACATATGGAAAACAAGACAAACTTCAAACAGATCCAGTGTAAATCATACCATTTAGAAGTAGATTAAAACCCAGCCAAAATACGTTATTTTGGTGCAATGGGGGACTTTACATCATGTGGTCATGTGATGTAACCGACTCCCCATATTCTTTAGCTAAAGTGTTTTATGTAGCCTTAAAACTTATCAATTCACTGTGTTTCCCTTATATTTATTCAGGTTCGGAAACTGGGGCAACACTGCATGTGATATTATATTTATCACATTGGCAGAACTTTCACCACTGAAATCAGTGTGAACGATTGCATCATGCACACTGCTCACCCCTGCACAATTTTAGTTAGTCCCAAAATCGTTCTATTCAAACTAATAACATTGGTTTGCGAAATCTTTGCGTCCTAATATTCACTGCAAATCATTGCAAAATGTAATTTAGACTCCAAATCGCCTTTTTCCTAGCACTAATTTTTATCTATCAGTGACACACATTTCTCAGTCAAGACTTTTTATTACGTCCCTCTGCATAGATGCAGAGAGACTAAAAGTGATGTCTCACCCTCTCACATTGTACAGTCTTTACGAGTCTTCAGAAATGCATTCTAGCACTGAGAATGGGAGAGAAGAGAAGCAGGTTTCAGAACACATTATAGGCATTCTTTGCAATCTGCAATAACAAGCTCATATCTAGATATTATTTTTACAACTACGCTCCCAAAAATTGCATTGGGTTTTTTAATATTCATAAGCAGAGTAATTGTTTTCATTTATTTTATTTTGTCACACATTCTGTATGTAAAAAAAACAAAAAAAACCCTAAACATTTCTGCCTACTTAATTCAAGTCCTACCTACAATATTGCAAAATAGATATAATATATAATAGATATTGCTTGTCTGTGCCTTTCCCCCTCCCCCTTCCCTTCCTGTCACAGCAGGGCGTTGCCACAGAGACACTTCCAGCCCAGTTTGAACTGGCTGCTTTGTCCCTCTTCCATCCCCCATCTGCTTCTTGGGATTAAAACCCCTGTTGTTTTGTGTTGGAGACCCCATGTAGGGGTTTGTGCATGTAAAACCGTGTGTGACAAAATAAACAGAGGTCAGCCAGTGTTGTACCTCCAAAGCTGTGTCCCATCCAGTTACTGGGGGGGAAATGGGTCTCTTGATACTCTAAATCAAGTATGTCAAACTCAAAGGGTAGCACGGGCCACATAAACAAGGTTTAAATTTATGTGGGCTGCAAAAAAAAACAAAACCTTAAATTTTCATAGAAACGTAGGTTTGTTTTAAAATGTACAGTATAAAGAAACAGCATTCCCATCTGTCCTAAATCCCAGTCCCCCCCTCTGTACTAAATCTCAGTCCGCCCTCTCTACTAAATCTCAGTCCCCCCTCTATTAAATCTCAGTGCCCCCCTCTCTATTAAATCTCAGTCCCCCCCTCTATACTAAATTGCAGAAATAGGCAAATACAAACACACAAAATTAAGCTGTGAGGTCAAACTCCCAGTACTCTTGGGCAGCAGGAATGTCTATAGTCTTCAGCAGCTTAAATACATAGAACAACTCTCCCCCCAAAAAATACCCATGCATTATCCCAAATCTTTATGCCAAAATAAGAGAAAAGAACAAATAAAAATATAGATATAATAAATATAATTATTATTATTTTATAAAAATGTTTTAACTACTGTTAATTACTATTTCTTTTTTAATGTGGGATTCCTAAATCTGGCGTTTTGGTTATGTGCTCATATATATTTGATATCTGTTAGCAATGCAACCAACACATTGTGTAAATTGCATTATATTACGTACTTGCCTGAAAGCACCACATTGTGTAGATTGCAATATTATTTTCAAACATATCCTCTTTGTTTTACATCTACATTTTTTTTTCAGGATTTCTTACATTAATGTATTCATTTCTAAAAATTAACAATAAAAATGTTTTTAACCAAAGGCACATGACGTGTTGGACAAATTTCTAATTGAGATGGATAAAATGGAAGCTTTAATCTTACAATCTGATCAAACCATTTCAGAGCATGAAAAGAAATTAGCAGGTGAGAAGATACAGTGGTGAGCAGTGGCGTTACAACCATGGTTGCAGGGATCCGTCACTCCAGGGGGCTCGGCCGCCGCTGCGACACCAAAGACCGGTGGGCTGCCGGCATACCTTTAGGGTCGGTGCACTTCCGCACCGGACTGGGTCCTCAGAGTTAAAGAGATGACGGGCAGCAGGGGAGCGCAGTGCTGATTCCCTCCTGCTTGTGTCTAGTGCTGCCGAGTGGTCTGACAGGAAGTGCTCATTGAGAAAGTATTTCCAATCAGACAGGTACCACAACCGCAACAAACAGATACCGGAGTGGGAAAGACACATGAAGAGGCTGCAGGGGAGGAGGGGAGACATATGCAGGGGGGTGCAGGTGAGGGGAGGGAGAAACATGAAAGGGACTGCAGGGTAGGGGGGAGAAACACATATCGGGCTGGGGGGACAGAATAAGAAAAATGGAGGTGTGAGGTGGGGAGGCCCAAGTGTTTCTATTTACTCCTATGGTAATGAGTTATTATTATTTAATACATAGTGTATTTATAGTGTATTGAAGATTCTGATAAGAGATCAGATGATGCTGATGTTGTGGATGTAGTCCACAACATCTGTAGTGCCAAAGGTTGCCTACACCTGCTCTAGAACTTACCATGGCAGATGAAATGTTCAGATGAGTTTTCATCTTATAGAAAAAAATAAAATGAAGGAGAATTTGATTGGGGACACATTGGGCTGTTTAGTACACTGTATTGTTTTACTGATTGCTTGTGTGATGTTTGCTTGCACAGCACATCCATGTGCTAGCACTATAACTTTTTAACAGTCAAACTGAGGGGGAACAGTTTTGGCGGGACTATTTATAAAATAATAATGATGTTCTCTCCACTTGCCCACCGTCTTCTGTAGCAGAGAAAGCTGAAGCCGAGGCAGCGGTGAGCAAGAGAAAAGTTATGGAAGAGGAGACAAAGAACCTGCAGGAAAGTATGGAAGAACAGAAGAAATGTCATGAGGAGCACCTCAAGATGCTGTTGGAGAAGATGGAAGAATATAAACGCAAGCTGACTGAGGAGGATGAATGGATGGATCAACAAAGATTAAAGGTACTATAGGAATGCATTTAACTTCATTATTTGCAGAATTATGACCCAAACCACAATTTTTTTAGCCCATTTTTTGGGTGGATAATGATTTTTTAAAAGTGGCCGTTATTAGCAAGTAACAATTATTTAGTTATATCTGTAATTCATTGAATAATTATTTTTTCACCTCCTTCACAGAATTGCAAAGGGGTCTCACCCCTGTATGAATCAAATTTACCATCCATCTCCTTGATGGAATGGTAATAAAAAAAGTTCAGAACTAATATTTGTCTTGCGACTAGCTTAGACTTTGCAATGTGTTTAATGAAAGTAATAACAAAAAAATAGAAACTGCAAGAAAATTGTAAACCTCATACCTGTTTATTCTCTAATTAAATCTCTAACAATCTAAAAATATTGCTTTAACCCCTTTTTATTACATCAATCAATTATAGACATGTGCAAGGGGTGCACCCATTCAATCACATTCACACACTAATTCAGGGCTAAATAGTCCCTCTCCTCTACTTGGTATTTTTCTGTGAGTTGGGGAAGCTGATTATGTTTTTGAAGAAAAAATATCTTTGCATAAAAAGATTTTTTTATATTTTTTTGCACGTTTTTATTATATTTTTTTATACTTTTCAGTACAAATATTATTGTTATTTTTGTATATTTATTTGATATTTTTTCTTAGAGGAGGGGTATTTATCCAGTAGCTTACATTACCTACAGTTTTTATACAATTTACATGCAATGCTAAAAAAGGGTTTCTCACCAAGGTTTGCTAAATTTAATTGCTCGACCCCCTTTGTGTTCACATCTACTTTCCTTGTGGACTGCAACATGCTGCTTCTATATCAATTGAAACTGTTGCACTTTTTGGGAAGTATATGTTGTGAACCAATGTTAGAATTGGATACATTGTTTATTTATTGTGTTATATGTCCCACCTCAGAGTTATTATATTTAGGGCAATTTGATAGTTGTCTTGATAATTTTTTTTGCAACAAAACGCTTTGATTATATGTTGTTTAACTTTTTGCTGGACCTATTGAGTCACATTTTCACTCACTGGTGCTTGTTAATATATATATTTTTTGAATGCCTTAATTGAATTGGGAGTCGCTGTTCTTTTTTACTTTTGTTCATGGATATTCAGTTCAGCATGTTCGAAAGTAGAACACTTCTGTAGAAAATGCACTATTGAGTAAAACATTGAAAATCTCCTACACCTTGCATTAAAAATTTTTTATGTGATGCTCCAATTTCTTTTAAATATATACAAAGAATTAGAAATTAAAATCACAGTTCAGCTCAGTCCAGGCACAGCCAATGCCCACATTGTATTATGTTACTTTTCCTCTCTCTTAAAGGGACACTATAGTAACCAAAACAATTTTAGCTTAATGAAGCAGTTTTGGTATAAAGATCATGACCCTGCTGTCTCACTGCTTAATTCTCTGCCATTTAGGGGTTAAATCACTTTGTTTATAAAGCTCTAGTCACACCTCCCTGCATGTGACTTGTACAACCTTCCTTAACACTTCCTGTAAAATTAGATCTAATGTTTACACTTCCTTTATTGCAAATTCTGTTTAATTTAGAATTGATTATATCCTGCTCTGTTAATAGCTTGCTAGACCTTGCAAGAGCCTCATCAATATGATTAAAGTTCAATTTACAGAGCAGGAGATAAAAACAACTTCTGAAGTAAGTTAACATCTGATTAAAAATGAAAACATTTTTTATGCAGGCTGTGTGAGTCAGCCAGGGGAGGTGTGGGGAGGAAACAAAGTGATTTAACTCCTAAATGGCAGAGAATTATGCAGTGATACTTCAGAGGCATGATCTAAACACCAGAACTGCTTCATTAAACTAAAGCTGTTTTGGTGATTTTGTATCCTTTAACTCCTTCAGGATCGGCCTGTTTTTCCGATGTTGTATGTTAAGGACCAGGGCTCTTTTAACCCCTTAACGACCGGTGATGGTTCAGGACCATCATCTGCATTTTAGTGTTGCCGACCGCTGATGGTCCTGAACCGTCACAATGGTAATCGTTACTCACCCGGTCACCGTCGTTCCCCCGGCGGCGATCAGCATGTCTCCCGGTGTGGGGAGACTGCCTGCAGCCCAGGGAGTCTACCCACGGCGAATAAGGACCCCTGGGGCCATGTGATCACTCAAGAGAGTGATCACATGGTCACAATAGGTGTCCAAGTGTCTGCCTGCAGGGGTCTCCCTGCAAGTGTAAAATAAAATAAAATTTTTTATATAAATGTTAATAAAAAATATATAATTATATATGTGTATATAAATATGATATATAGACATATATTATATCCATATAATATATCTATATAATATATGTCTATATATCATATATATAATTTCATACTAAGTGTATTTTATATACATTTATTAATATAAAATTACACTTATAATTAAATTACACACGTATATACATAATAACTATATATATTGTATATTGTGTATATATATATATTATAAAATACAATTAATAAGTAAATTAAATTAAATTTAAAAATTTTAAAATAATTATAATAATTAAAAAAAATTATATATCTATATGAAATTTTACTCTAACTGTATTTTGATATATATATATATATATATATATATATATATATATATATATATATATATATATATATATATATATCAAAATACACTTAGAATAAAATTGTATATATATCTCTGTAAAAATAAATAAAAATAATACAAAATATACATAGGTCCAGGTTTTTTTTTTTATAATTAATAAATGCTAACTTTTAGTTTTTTACTATTTTGGCCACATCTGTGGAGTACCGCAGTGGTTTCTTAATTTTTTTGCTTCTACTGACAAGCCTAATGCAATTTTCTGTTGGCTTCAGCAGTGCAACTTTTAAATAATCCAGTTTCTCCTGGACTCCATTTAAACTGCTCCAGTTTGACAAGGACTCCTTTATACATATTCTAATTTTAGAAAAGTCTGTTTTTCTAAAGTCTAAAACTTTTGTTTTGTTTGGTGTGACTCAGTCACTGTTCTTATATTAAACCACAACTGATATTTTAGCAAATAACCTTGTCTAACTGCATATTTAGCAGGAAGGACATTTACATTTTGTATATAATGAGGAAAATCTCGGTATTATAAACATCTCTTCTCTCTGACGTAGTTATGTTGCCTGGAGTCTCCTTGTGCTGTCCCATAATGCAGCGTTGAACAGTTTTCAAATTGGTTTGACATTGAATAAGACTCCCTGGCCGGCCACAGGCTGGCTTCTCTCTATTGCTTGGGCTAAAGCTGATACGATGGGCAGCAAGGATAAGCAGATTGTGTCAGTTGAGTGCTCTCAGCCTATCACCGCCACCCATTTCTGATTTGAGTTGGTATGGCTAGTGAAATTGTAACCTCCACATTAGCTTTACCCAGGGGTGTCCCAAAACTCTCATTCAGTGTTAAATCCATTCAAGAGAAGAACATGCTTGAATTTAGCATATAATATATTGTGTCACTATGTGAGTTGCTCTTCAGTGTTTATTTTATTTATTTTGTTTATTCGTAATTCCTAGGAACATGAAGATTTAGTTAAAGCTGGATTTCTGTCACAAACTGATGACTTAAAGAAACCAACCGAAGATTTACAAAGAGACAAAACAGAAAATATGGAAGTGGTTCTAGACAACAAAACGGAGGAGGAGAAAAACTGATTAAAAATAATTATTTAAATGAATAAAGAAAATGTTATATATTACCTCAAAACGTGCACTATTTTACCTTTGAAGAAGTCAGTAAATCATTCTCATTAAAGGGAGACAAAACAACTTTAAAGGGACAATATAGGCACAAAAACAACTTTAGCTTAATTAAGCAGTTTTAGTGTACAGGTCATGCCCCTGCAATCCCACTTCTCAATTCTCTGCCATCTAGGAGTAGTGATGTACCGAACGGTTCGCCGGCGAACGGTTCCCGGCGAACATAGCATGTTCGCATTCGCCACGGCATTGGAGAAGACTGATTGCCAGCCTCCTGCCATGTGACTACGGCCCCTGGGATATATTGCCTGCTCTCCTGTACTGCTGAGGATTGCTACCAACTAGGTGGATGGCTATGGAGCTTGTGTAGTGCCCTCTGTTGGTAGCAACAGTAATATGCACTACCTGAATAGCAAGACTGGTAATTTGCATATTTGGGTAGCTTTGCATATCGCTAATTCTGCATGCAGGAGAAACATTTTCATACTCCCTTGCTAAATCACTACTAAGTTCTTGTAAGAGCTTGTTCCTGTATTGCTCTCTGGAGGAGTCTACGATGGTTATGGTGTCGGCTGGAGTGCTTGGAGCCCTCAGGAAGTGCTAGGAGCATCCATCAACGGAGGTACCCAGTCGGGGTGCCAGGTGATCCGTTACAGCAGCTTAGCTGCATTAGACAAAATTCTGAGGATTGAAAGTTAAACCATAAATGCTTAAAGTGATAAAGAGGTGTTTCTAAACAAAGTGTGCAACTAAGCTGCTAACTAATACAAATTGGCACTGTACTGGCAGAAAATGGCCCACTGGGCAGGTTTATTTTACTTTTCCTCCCAGTTTAAGGTTGTCAGATGAGTAAAACATCAAGATAAACAGTACAATCTGGAATGAGATTTTTTATTTTTTTTTGCCGTTTCTTTTAACTGAATAAAAGCTCACTGGAAATCACTAAATAAATCACTGGAAATCTGCAGTATCAGGCATGCATGTAAATTACTATTGCAATGCAGTCCATACATTGGGAAGTGAAAAAAAGTATTGCTTCACTTTAAGTACATTTTCATTTTACATACATGCTCTGGTTCCATTGTGTACTTAAAAGTGAGGTATGCCTGTACTGCTTGCTGACTGGAAGAGAGGCGGCTGGACTCTGAACTCGTATTCAGTCTCAGGAGCCTGATCTGTGCATTGCCCCACCGCCTCACACTGAATAGAGTGTTTATGTATAGCCCCACCCCCTCAGATCGAACAGTGATCTGTGCATTGCCTCCCGCCTCCCGCCTCACACTGAACAGAGTATTTATGCATAGCCCCACCCCCTCAGATCGAACAGTGATCTGTGCATTGCCCCACCGCCTCACACTGAACAGAGTATTTATGCATAGCCCCGCCCCCTCAGATCGAACACAGTGATCTGTGCATTGCCGCCCGCCTCACACTGAACAGAGTATTTATGCATAGCCCCACCCCCTCAGATCGAACACAGTGATCTGTGCATTGCCCCACCGCGTCACACTGAACAGAGTGTTTATGCATAGCCCAGCCCCCTCAGATTGAACACAGTGTGCATTGCCCCACCGCCTCACACTGAACAGAGTGTTTATGCATAGCCCCACCCCCTCAGATTGAACACAGTGATCTGTGCATTGCCCCCCGCCTCACACTGAACAGAGTGTTTATGCATAGCCCCACCCCCTCAGATTAATCTGTGCATTGCCCCCCGCCTCACACTGAACAGAGTATTTATGCATAGCCCCGCCCCCTCAGATCGAACACAGTGATCTGTGCATTGCCCCACCGCGTCACACTGAACAGAGTGTTTATGCATAGCCCAGCCCCCTCAGATTGAACACAGTGTGCATTGCCCCACCGCCTCACACTGAACAGAGTGTTTATGCATAGCCCCACCCCCTCAGATTGAACACAGTGATCTGTGCATTGCCCCCCGCCTCACACTGAACAGAGTGTTTATGCATAGCCCCACCCCCTCAGATTAATCTGTGCATTGCCCCCCGCCTCACACTGAACAGAGTATTTATGCATAGCCCCGCCCCCTCAGATCGAACACAGTGATCTGTGCATTGCCCCACCGCGTCACACTGAACAGAGTGTTTATGCATAGCCCAGCCCCCTCAGATTGAACACAGTGTGCATTGCCCCACCGCCTCACACTGAACAGAGTGTTTATGCATAGCCCCACCCCCTCAGATTGAACACAGTGATCTGTGCATTGCCCCCCGCCTCACACTGAACAGAGTGTTTATGCATAGCCCCACCCCCTCAGATTAATCTGTGCATTGCCCCCCGCCTCACACTGAACAGAGTGTTTATGCATAGCTTGCCCCTCAGACTGAACACAGCAATCTGCAGGCGGGAGATGTGAGGGGACTGGAATTGACAGACTGAAATGGCAAGTACACACACAGCCCAGCCACACACTCTAAACACCCAGCACAGCTACACACACTGTATACACACGTCAGCTACCAACACTGTACACACACAGCTCAGCTACACATATATACACACATACTGAACACACACAGCTCAGCTAACCACACAGTATACACACGTCAGCTACCTACACTGTACACAGTGGCGTACATTCCAGGGTTGCAGGCGTCGCGGCTGCGACCGGGCCCGGCCCACCAGGGGGCCCGGCCACCCCTGCGACCCGGTGTGTACCCACTGGGCCAGCCTCTTCCCCTGGGGGGGCCCAGGAGCGAGCACCCCAGGGCCCCCCTAGGCTGGCCCTGCTGTCACCCGGCAGGCGGGTGGCCGGTCGGGCAGGCGGGCGTGCGAGGGAGCACTCAGTGCTTCCTCTTCAGCTCCCTCGCACACCGCACTGATACCGGAGCCGGAAGATGATGTCATCTTCCGGCTCTGGCATCCCTACGCAACGCGCGAGGGAGCTGAAGAGGAAGCACTGAGTGCTCCCTCGCGCACGCGCCTGCCTGACCGGTCCCCACCCAGTGACCTGCCGCCCAGGCGCCCAGCAGCACCACTGGACCCCAGGGAATCCCCCCAGCACTCCAAAAGGTAAGGAGGCTGGGGGGATTACATTTTAAAAAAACAAACAAACATGTGTGAGTGTTAGAGTGTTAGAGTGAGTGTGAGTGTTAGAGTGAGTGTTAGAGTGTGAGTGTTAGAGTGTGTGTTAGAGTGAGTGTTAGAGTGTTAGAGTGAGAGTGAGTGTTAGTGAGTGTTAGAGTGAGTGTTAGTGTGTTAGAGTGTGTGTCTGCTAGTGAGTGTTAGTGTGAGTGTTAGTGTGTGTGAGTGTTAGTGTGAGTGTTAGAGTGAGTGTTAGTGTGTGCGTCTGCTAGTGAGTGTCAGTGATTGTGTTACTGTTTGTGTCTTACTGAGTGTGTGTGTGTGTGTTATTGAGTCTGTTTGTTGTCTGTTAGTGAGTTTGTGTTTGTCAATGACAGTGTATGTTTTGTAAGTGAGTGTGTATGTTTGTCTGTCGCTGAGTGTGTCTCTGTCAATAAATGTGTGTGTCTGTTAGCTAGTGTGTATGCGTCTGTAAGTGAGAGTGTGTGTGTCTTCAGCACTTACCTTTCTCCAGCGCTGGACTCCCTTGGCGCTGGGGATCCCTCAGCCTCTCAGCTCCGAATGCGACCGCGCACTCATTCAAACCGCCCATAGGAAAGCATTACTCAATGCTTTCCTATGGACAATCAGTGTGCTCCTCTAGCGGCTGTCAATGAGACAGCCACTAGAGGCTGGATTAACCCTCAGTGAACCATAGCAGTTTCTATGAAACTGCTATGTTTTCAGCTGCAGGGTTAAAACTAGAGGGACCTGACACCCAGACAACTTCATTGAGCTGATGTGATCTGGGTGTCTGTAGTGGTCCTTTAAGTGTGTGTGCATCTGCATGCACTGGCGTACATACCGCGGTCGCAGCCCTGTAATCCCTGCCACCAGGTGCCCACCGCCATGTGTTGTGGCCCGGCCCGCGTGCGGGGGGGAGGGGGGGGCACGGATCAATTTTTGCACCGGAGCCCCATGGGTCATGTGTACGCCACTGACTGTACTTACACACTACTACTCATACTTTTACCCACACTTACACACAGACTCACACATACCCACACTACTGCCCACGTACACACACTGAAACACAAGACATTCACACACTGCTACAGATGTGCACACGCTAGACACACATATATAAAAACACACACTCTCTCTATATGTGTGCATATGCAACAATTTTTAGCATACTTAAAAATTGTATTTTTTTAAATTAATTTATTCACAACTATTTTTTTATGAAGGTTAGTTTTACTAGTTAGTAAAGTTTGGTGTAAATTTGCGGAGAAAGTAAAGACATAGTATTAAGTTCTGTTAAATGGACTTGTTAATATGATCAGCTCTCTCAGTATGAGTTTGACCTGGCATCTTGTTATTTGTTAAGCAATGTTAGGACACGAAACATGAAAATGATGTCCCATGGGGCCTGTCACCAGCATGAAGCAATGTGTTTAGTGTTCAGTTACATATTACTGTCTGTATTGCAGCTGATGCTCTTATTGAATATTAACTATTGGAGTAACTTGTGGTCTAATTTTAATGAAACATTATACTACAGCATGCTGTAGTGGTTATGGTGCTAGGACTGCCCTGGCACCCGCCCCCCAACCTAAGTAGTCAAACTGTTTCATAACAGTGCACGGTAGTGGTTATGGTGCTTGGGGTGTTCCTTTAAGAAATTGAAATCAAATATATAAATAAATTACACCACAAAATGAAAAAGTTAATAACATGACAGTAAAAAGGGAAAATCAAATCAAAATGAAAAAGAAAATTAAACACAGGCTGTCAGTCCATCCATCTATCAACATGTTCAGTGAAGAAACAGTATAATTCTTGCATAAATATATAAAAAAATATTTTCTGGAAACAATATTACTATTTTAGTACAGACCCTGAATCTTTGGGACCTTTTACATCAAAGG